TAAAAAATAAAGTCAACCAACACAAATTAATGAGAGCAAGCCTGAAAAATGCAAAAACATCATTTGGACTCTTATGCCTCATCGGGTGAGTTTTCATCACATCAAACACAAACTTCTGAATTGGTAGACAGATATTGAATTGCCGAAAACAATCAACAAGATGCACTACGGATTCATATTTCTTAATGACAGAACATCCTGCAAAGTTTTCAGACAACCTGAATTGCTGTTGTGCCTCAAGCACCAAATGCTTGCAACATCGAACTACTCATTAACTTCAATATAGAAGCCAGAAGACATATATCTGGGGACTTTGACCTAATACACAAAAAAGGATCACGCATATTCAGAAGAGCTTATGTACAATGGAAGTTAATATTGACAACATTTATCTTTGTATGATTTATCAAAAGCATTTAGGCTCTCCTTAATGCAATAGAGGCATCATCAGGTCGGATTTTGTTATGAGGCGTATTGTTTACGTAACAATCCAAAGATTGTTAAGCTTTGTAACTAGATGATCAATTTTGTCCTTTGTAGCTGGCTGAAGATAAGATTCAAAAGCCAGTTGACTACTTCCAAACATAAACGATTTGACATGAACTGTTACTACCTATAGGAAGGTCATCCATATGAAGTTGGAAAAGTGGCTTTTGCACAAGATAAGGACCTCTCCAATGACCAAAATGGCACATGAATAGCATTCACTTGTGGAAGACGCAGAATCAATTAGCAAAAAGTACCCTCAATGACTTATGCATTATATATACAGCAGGAAACACAGCTGCAAACTGGTTTCACACTTTCTGCAACTTCTCCTCCCCAATGTCCATCTTGACAACCTACCGGATCTTCAGAAACAATTTAATGATGTCGGGATGATCCGAGATCAGCACCAATTTGATCATACTCCCTGAGGACTGCTTCCATCTCTGCTTCACAACATCTTTGTCAAGTCTATATTCTACAACATGAGAATAGTGCATCTCCCTCTATGATCATTTTGGCAGGGTTCCATTGCGGGCCCTGCAATTCAAGAGTGACTATAAGAGCTTGTTTCCAGTACATGCCCTATGCATCAATTATGAAAATGATTAGAGCTGGCTAATTTCTTTCTTCAAAGAAATGAACACATACCTGGCATAGTTCAGTATAATGTTTATATATCTCACTCCTTCATCTTGTCACCGAGCAGTGTTCCACCATACCAACATTGGCTTCATCAGCAAGATCATTGTGAGATACCTAGATAACCACAAGACAATAAATAAAGTTATAAACAAAAATGAAAAGAGATGAGAAAATCAGTACAGAAATGAATACTACACATTCCCATTTAAAGTGCCACGCCATGAATTTGGTATTGGTGTAAAACTCTAAACCTTCGGTGATTCTCAAAAGAACAAATAACCCTTTGTTTATCAAAATAAAAAAGACCCCTGACAAAGTCTAATTATACATGAAAGACACCTAACACACACAGACTAGTGAAATCCGTATTTTTTATGATTTTTAAAAGCTTTCATTAAACGACAAAAACTTGAGACCCCTAGTCTTCCTCAATACAAATAACCCTATATGTTGGTGACATTATCCAAATGTAATAATTATTTTACAAAAAAGAGGGACCATTATAAAGCTCCGTAGTTAGGCCGGCAATGTGGCAATTGAGTGAAGAAAATTGAAAAATAACTTGTGTTTACGTACAACTTGGTGAAAACTAGCAACGTATCCATTTATAATCGAGAAAAGCTCATTTGTAATTTCTATAGATTCAAAGTTTCAAAGAATTAATCAATTTTTTTTTTTTTTTTTAATCTTTTAAGAAAACTATTAATTCAGCATGAATGACTTTGTCTTGAAAAAAATCAATCTGACTCAACTTAATAATTTACCTTAATACAATATTTTACTATTCATAAAAATCATATCAATATAGGTGCACGGGATGAAATAAATTAAACTTTTATGAATTCTTCCAAGGTTTGTTCGACATATTCTAAGAACATAAGATAAAAAAAAGTTACCAAGTATTTTTACACTCAAAAATAATTTTAAAAAAGATAACATAAGCAAGAGTATCGTATTTTCATATATTCAGGAGTTTAAAATTATATTTTTTATCTTATTTTATTGATTTTTGCATCATCAATTACCATTTAGCCTACAACTGCTCAACTGTAACGGAAATTTCATTAGCATTTGATTAACTTCTTTTTTTTTTTTGCTTCAGAAAAAAAGGTGGAGTATTTGTATTTTCAGGGAATGACAAGGGATTTAGAGTTATTATACTTTCGTAGACAATTGATAACAGATGATGTAAGTGAATTCTAGAGTGAAACTTTAAGAACATTTTAATGGTTTAAGATTATAAACCAGATAATACCACACATGTATAAAATGTTCTTGTATCTAAGATTTAATGGTGGTCATCTCCACAGATTGTGTTTGAATTAAAACATAACAGCTGTGTCTGATCAACATACTACAACACTAATCAATAAATCTAGGGCTACCTACATATCTAAAAGGATGAAAATTTATAAAACCCTCAACTGAATTGAACAAATAAAGTCAAAATCCCATTCCAACTTCACAAATAAACTGATAGTTGCGTATGAATCATGTCAAAGATACTCCAAGCATGCATATTTGCTACATAATTATAATGTAGCCAGGTTTCACCTAAATCATACCAATAGCTACATGGCCCATGAGCAGAGTAGAATAAATGCATTGTCACCTTTGGGTTCTACAGGCTATTATGGGTTCAAGCTTTGGCTCAAACAAGCAACTTGAGGGCCAGCCTAGTGACAAACTGAGTTGGGTTAACTAAGTTATAACCTGAGAAACAGCATACGAGTGTCCTTCTATGCCAATGGGAAGCTTTAATTATAGAGAAATTACCTCTGGAAGACACCTTCGTCATATGTCATCACGAAGAAAGCCAATTCAAGTCACAGAAAGTGTCGGCTCTTATTTCATTATGAATTCCCGATTTACAATTTCATGTGATGTAACATTGGGAGCAGACACACTTCCTTCAAGCTTTCTCTGGCCGAAGAGCAATTTGGATCTTTAACTGTATTTCACTGCATAAGAAACTTGCCCGAGTTAACAAAATAAAATAAATTGCCGCACAAATTCTCATATTTGCACTGGCAGATCAAAGTGTTAAACAAACTAAAAAGAGATAATGAAAATAATTCATGCAAATAACTAAGAGTATGAAATAAAAATGCGGACATAAAACATGTAAAAAAAGGAGCTATTTTGCAAGTTATTAAGTTCAACAAGTACTCTAAGACTAGTGACCAAATGAAGAAACTAAACATGCTTATGAACTTGGTGGAGAGACAAGCCTCTTGATCTAAGGTGACCACACACTACACAACAATACATATAACAAATAAGACTGTATTAAAAGTAGGAAAAAACCTGAAATCATAAGCTTAGAGGGAAAGTATGTCCTCAACAGCAGAACAGAAGAGATGGAGGAAGTCATAAACATGACCAGAAAAACTAAGAGAGTAAACAGATCAACATCTTTTAAGAAATGAGATAGAAATTGTGCACAAATGCAGAATGAGAAAGGGAGGAAGATTCACGCTGCATCAGGTGCACAACCTGGTCTTTGGTCTGGTTCACTGCAAAGTCTTTAACATTTTTTATTGAGCTACGTGTTTTCGCTATCAATTTTTCAAAGGAAGTCAATTTTAGGCGAGAAAAATCTTCTCTGCATGCTGGAACGGGGCAAGAATCATCCCTTGTCCACAGCTTTAACAGTAGCTTCCAAACTGCAAAGTGACAATTGAAAGAGAAAAAAAACTAAATTCTAATAGGAAACATCTATGCTACTGTGTGTGAGTAAGAAGAGTCAATATGTATAGATAGATACTACCATTTATCAGGGAATAGGTCATCACCAATCCCAGAAACGTGAAGATAATAATCAGAATCCAATTCCCATAGAGCAGGTTTCCCTTCCTGTGGTTTAAAATAACCCAAAAATCTGGTAAAACCAACAAAACATAATAGTTTCAGAACGTAAACAAGCTGACGTAAACTTCAAAACCAATTTATTTACAGCCAGAGCATTGTGCACTATCTTTTCAGATAATTACTAAGCCTTTAGGAATAAAACTTTTAAGGATAAGGGAAAAGCAATTTAAGCTTTATGGAATAAAACTTTTAAGGATAAGGGAAAAGCAATTGAAATGTAAAATTAAAAATAAAATATGACAGGTAGAAATAAGTACAAATTATTGCATCTTGCTTTTCACATCGGTGTCGCTTGATAGACTAAGAAAATTCTCTAGATTGGGTAGTAGCTCTCCACTTCCCTGCCTGAGAAGAAGGATGTATTGTACTTAGTCCAAAAAAGAAGACACAACTAGATGTGCAAATTCAATGGCCAATAAATGCTATAAAATATAGCATGTCAGAGATAATCTGATGAGACAAACAATACCTGATATAGGAGGAAAAAAAATAGAGGATTGAGGGACTCAGGTCAGGCTTTGAGCGTGAGGAGGGTGGTTTGGTTTATGGAAAGTGACAAGTGGCAAACCTGAGTGGTTGAGAGTTGAATCAGTTACAACAATAGAACAGAAGAATAAAAGGCAGCGGGAAGGACTGTGGAGCAGCAAATTTTGTAGAGGGAAGGGATTTGGGAGATGCTGCTCTCGAAGTCCAGTGGGTTCTTATTGTTGGCAGACTCATCCGGATGAGTGTTTTTTTTGATTAAGATTATTGCTTTATTTGAGTTGTAAAGAATTGTTATCTTAATAGAATTTACTTTGATCTGTCATTGAGTACAATTATCAAATCTGTCCAGCATTTTGTGTTCCATTGAGAGTAGTATATTTGGTTAGAATTGGTTGACTGAAAATTCTGGGTTGATAACCAGCAGAATTGAAATAATCTGGGAAGTGTCTGTGAGTTAAGCGTGAAGAGGTAGGCCATATCATAATCATCAGAATTGTGAGCAGCAGAGCCACCATATGTTGTGAAGAGGATCCCCCATAAGAGCTGGAGCTATGCTGCTATTAGGGTCAACTTTTGGCATGTCTGTCAAACCCATTGCATGAAGCTGGCGGCCCAAAGCAGCAAGCCCATAAGCATACTAGGCAACATCATGGTTGTCTTTTCTATTTTGTTGGCCAAAATCCGCACCTCTTTCTCAATTAATCGTAGAACTTAAATTCTCACCACTACTTGCAAGCCTTGCAAGGTCCCCTGAACTGGCACGCAACTCTCTTAGAGAAGCATCTCTGCAAGAAACAGACGCAAAAAGAAAAACAACGTTAGAATTTTGAAAATCATAATACGTGTCTTGTCTAGGCACCTAATAAAGTTCTACGCTGAGATAGAAAACCAAACACAACCTCAAAGAATAGGCCCCCAAAAACCATGTATTTCTGCACCTGTAACAGTCTACATAGCGTCTCCAGAATAGAGTGCCAATAACAGAAAATAAAAATGTTCATATATTTAAGCACCTGTAACTGTCAACATAGTGTCTCTATATAACACAGTGTCTCTATATATTTAACTCCGGTTTTGAAAAAAAAAAAAAAAAAAGAGAACTCCAAGAGTATATATAACCATCATGTTGTTTAAAGAGTAGAGTGCCAATAACAGAAAATGAATATGTCGTCCGCATACGATACCTACACTTAATCAACATGTCAATATTATCAAGTAGAAGTGAAAGAAAAAAGGAACGTGTATAGAATTTGTAATATTTTGTGAGGAAAGAAATAAAATTAATTTTATGGCTTCTATAAAATAATTGAAAAATGTTATCCTTACAAAGACCCATACAAAGAGGGTTACAAGATGACATTATCCAACAGAAAAAAATAAAGAAAAAACGAAAAAAGAGAGAGAGAGAGAAAGAGAAATCATGAAAATCAAGGGTGGGGATTGTCTTTGTATACCCCTTTTGCATGTGCCTTTGTAAAACTAATATTGCTCAAAAGAATTTAATGTATTCTCAAGAGGAAGTACTCAGTCAAAACTTCAAGAGTGCTAAGCTGCTTCTCCCAGGATTTTGAGAATACAACTTCTTTAAGAAAATTTTGCCCTTCCCAATCCATATTTACTTAGAAACTTCTTACTTAGAATTGTTTTCTCCATGGTTGTAGTCAGTCCATCTATAACTAATGTGAAAAGAAATGAGAAAAGCCATCTCCTCCCATTATTCCCCCTTTGTCTCCCATTTATAGATATACAAAAGCCATAATCCAACGTCCCCATTTGTAGTCAATCCATCTACAACTAATGTGAAAACAAATAAGAAAAGCCATCTACTCCTTATTCCCCCCTAGCCTCCCATTTATAGATATAGAAAAGCCATAATTCAACCTCCCCAGCTCCCCCTCACAAAGAACAAAGTCCATCAAACCCCAATCTAAATGCTAAGAAAACTTTTCAAAATCTATTTAACCACCATCCCTTCTAGCTTTTTCTTTCCTACATTACTCAACTTCATTGGCCACCAACGCAACATAAAAATATTTGTGTGCCCTTGGCAAAGGCTCATTGTGCAGTGGAGGCTTAGCACTTCTTTCTTTCAGTCTATTAGGCAATTGAAACAAGAATTAGTAGCCTATGATGGATTAAATACAACAACCACCCTAAAGTTTCACAAACTGAAAGCTAGACACTAACTTTAGGAGTATTATACAAAATCACCCTTAAAGTTTGAAAATTATTCAAAAACCACCCCTATTGACAGAATCTTTTAGTCTACCATTAACAAACTATGAAATATCACTTATACCCTTATTTTTATATCTTACTTAAAAACAATTAGATAAAAATCCCCAAAACACCCTACTAAAAATATCACAAACTTTGTGGTGTCTTTCATAATATCCAAAAAAAAAAAAATTTCTATTTTCCTCTCCCCCATCTTTTTCTCTTTTTTTCAAATTCCTAAATCCTTCCAAATGACAAATGGTGACAAGGCCAACGGTGTCCATGCCAATGGTGGACGAATTAGTAGTCCAGTGTGACTGCACACAAACTTAGTGACACCCCGTATGGTGCATCATGGTCTCATGTTGTTGCCTGCTATGGCCTCGTCACAACCTCAAGTTACTACAAGTGATGGCCATGTAACGACCTTAAGCTACAACCAACTTGGGCCGCATCGCGCATTATGCAGCAACTACCACCACCATTGCCCACATTTCAGACAACTAACACCAACGACTTTCAAAATTTTTTTTTTTTAATTTTTTTTTGTTGTCAGATTTTGATTTGGGCGTTTATACATGTGCTATGAAGTGGGTTTTTCTATGTTTTTGCCTATCATCTGGTGCCAAATAAAGAAAAGAGTTGCCTTTACTATCCAAGAAGTCAGGACTATGTTTATTCTGCCTTTGAAATCAATATTCTGCTTACATGCATGGAAAGGATTTTTTGGGAAAATTGCTTGAGGATGTGATAATCCGTAAATTATACAGTTCTATTTGATCTTTTTGTCGGATTTCAGGTACTTTCTAGTGCATTTTGACCTGAATTGGTGCTTAATTCTTTACTTTTCGTGTTTCAGGTTAAAATGGACTTTTTGAGCGAATAAAGACAAAATTGGATAGTTTTGACTCAGAATTGAGCGGATTTCAGAAGATAGGAGAGTTCCGGAGCAGGACAACGCTGATGAAGCTTGTTTCCAAGGTAGAGAGCCGAATATCGAAGAATCGAACGAAGAGGAAGCGAGTGGCAGTTCTGTAAATTTCAGAACTTTTGAACGAGCTTCGCCCGGCGAAGAAATTGTCTTCGCGCGGCGAAGTTAGGCAGAGACGATTGGAATTTTTCATTCTTCGCCGCGGCGACAGTCAAATTATTCAGTTTTGTAAACGCACAGTTTCGTGTGTGCGTGTTTTTGGCTGGGTTTGGACTAAGTATAAAAGAAAAACTTAACTTTTTGCGAAGAGAGCTTGCGCTGTTAGGTTTAGCCGTCTTTTACATTTTCCTTAGAGAAAAAGCTTGAGTTTTTCGGATTGTAAAAGGGAAGATTCAGATTTTGACTAGAAGATTCATCTTTTGGGGAGATTTCTTATCTTTCATCTCAGTTTCATTATGTTAACTTGTTTATTTCTATTTTTCGTTTTTTGTATTGTTAATTTGGCTATGAACTAATCTTCTATGGGTTAGGGTTTTGATTGTATTTGGGATTTGAAATGGGTTAAGTATTTGATTGTGTTATTTCCATGTGAATAAGCTTTGGTTGTGTGTTACTCTGGAATTAAATGCTGTATGTGATGAACATGATGAGATTGAGAAATAATTCATGTTAAGCTTCTTGGGTAATCACCATTTTAGTATTGGATGCTAGAGATAGATTCAAGAATTAATGAAATCAAATTAGGATTCTTGTGCTTAATGAATTTAGAATTATTAACCTTCAAATTGTTGGGTGCGGAATGTTAATAAGGATGAATAGGCAAACATAGCCCGAGAGGGTATGTTAACATATTAGTGAATCCGATTTACAACCATTGCGCATGAATGTGAAAATAGTGTAACTCTTCGGTTTAACCCATAAAAGTCCAAACGAAGTCAAAACCCTACCCGTTTTACTAGAATTGATATTCTATGTGTCGTTTTATTTTCTTAGTTAAGATTTAATTCTCTATTTACTTTCATTTTTGTTTTCTTTTTCATTACAAATTAATCCCACCAATCCAAAGAATTCGATTTCTTCAACTTGATAACGTAGGAAACTTAGTGCTTTGCTATAGTCCTCGTGGGAACGATATCCTACCCATCACTCTATTACTTTATGCGACTAGTGCACTTGCTATTCTTTGCATGTTTTAGTAAACACGCATCAGGATGGATAGAAGGTTTTGCAGGAAATAATAGGTAATGGGGAAAGATTTAAATACCAAAACTCTTAAAGAAGACTACAGATGTTCAAACTATTTATCAAAAGTATCTAAAAACTAGAGCACAATTTAATACCTTCCAGTTCGACTACGTTGGTTGGTTTTCCTCTTAACGATGCTTGGTTTACCACCATAGAAAAAACCAGTCAAGTCAAGTGCTTCACTTGCCGCGCCACCCAAAACAGATACAACATTGGCAGACTTGCTAGAAATCAGCAAAGAAAAACAAAGAAAGGAAAAAAAAAGGTTAGCTGACCTGAAATGCAGCTTCTTTCTTGTGTTAGATTGGATGATGATTACTTTGTGAGATTAAATACATGATTACCTCTTTGCAAATTATGGAAGTCCCAGTTTATAAATCGAACTTGTGTTAAGATACCCAACTGCATCTGCAAACTCACGCCTTAGCATCATTTCCCGCAGCCTTTTCTCAACGGTCTGCATTTTGATATGTAAATGAGCTCCAAAAAAGTATTTAAATGTGGAGAAATGATTTAATAAGTAACTAATATGTAAAGGCTGACAAAGAAAAAAGAGAAAATGTTACGTTACAATGTCTTTCCACATTTATGTGCTCTTAAAAACAACTATTCGGATGGGGGGAGAACCCTCATAGTGAAGTTGCGGTTAATGAAATAAATAAGAACTGGAACAAACAAAAATGAAGACATAATATAATTACAAAGAATATATGTCAAGCTTTCTTACCTTTCCTAAGGTTTGGCCCAATTTTAAAGTAGGGTTTTCTTTTTTTTTTCTTTTCAACAAAGACCTCCATATGAAGGTTTCTGGTGGTATTATACAATTGTGTGTATTGGCCGTTCTCATATATTTAATTGGGAAGAAATAAAAAGATTTTATCATGATGCTTGGATTAATGAGATAAGTCAAGCTTTCTTGCTAAGACTTCATTTATATCTTTGAAAACTGAAACCTACAACAACAAAGAAAGAGCACCTTATCTTGTTAAAATCCAGATTTCAAGCATCACTAAGTTCTATTTCTTTCCGATCATTATACAACAAATGCAGGTGGGAACAAGGGATGCACGAAAATCCTGAAGCAACTCAATCAATGCTTCCAAAAAAAAAAAAGAAAGAAAATAGGCAGGGGCTTATCGCAAGGGTAGATTGAAGTACTACTACAGAGATTGAATCATTCATGCAACCCAGCAAAAGGAATTAAGCTTCTGATAAGAGAAGGAGAAAAAATAACAAGATAGATATAAAAGAACTAATGAGATAGAGAGAAATTAGATATTTAGAAGAGGAACTAGCAAGAGATTCCAGGAAACAATACTCAATTATCAATCTCATTATTAATCATCAACTCTCTTATATTCCAACAAAAATAAGCCTTATTTATAGGCTAAAGAACCAAATCCAATTCTAATCCTAATACGGCAATGAACTGTGGAATATTCTAATCCTAATTAAGCAAAGAAACAATGAAATAAAAGACTGAAATAACTAAGACACTCAATCCTAAAATATAGAAAGATAAGGAACTAAATATCCCTTTGCATCCTATATGTTCTACATCAGCTTCCTTGTTGAGAAGGTTGGCTTGGTATTTAGGGGCTTCCAAGTTCTAGTTCATCCACATGAAAATGAGGTATTTGAGAAAATGGCAAATGTTGTGGAGAATTGGTTGTGGTAAATAGTCAAAACGAACCATTTCGTTCTATTTAAAGCAGAAATTAAGTAAGAGAATCTAGATTTATATCAGCATTCTATGACATTGAAGATATCTGGTTTAAATGGAAAGAGACAAGCTGATTGACAATGATATTAGCCACCATATATAAGGGTCTTAGTTGTTTTGCTATCTAGCCTTAGCTCTGATAGATTATTGAGAATAAAGAAAACTTCCCCATTCAAATTTTCTCTTCTCACTTCTCTAATTCCTCCCCTTGCTTTTTCTATTCCATGATCTTCATAGGTTTCTTATTTTCTTCCTCAAATTTTCTCTCCTGACTTCTGTTCCTCCCCTTTCTTTTTCTCTTTCACGATCCTCATATGTTCCCTATTGTAACGCCAGAGGGTTTATGTGGACAGTTTGTCCTTGGTATTAGGAAAATTTGTTAATTCTTGTGTAAAATCTCCTTTACATAATTCAACTATGCTTTGTTTCATAGCATATAACAAAAGATCATTTATAAAACAGAAAAGAAGCAATTACCACACAAGTAACCTACAATAGCAAGTCACAGAAAGCAATAAAAGTTCCTCTACTTTTTATATAACGGAACTGGAAAACTGTTGTCAGATGATTTCTTTAGGTTTTGGCCATTTTATTGGTGGTAATGAATTGGAAAACTTGACTACGAATGGCCATTCTCATAACTTTACTGTTTTTCACACCATGATCTGAAAAAGGAAAAAAAAAAGTAATGGCAAGAGGAGTGCATCACTATAAAATTAAAAATTAAAAAAAAAAAAAAGCAAAAAAATAAACTCAAGCAACTATTTCATTTCACGCATAAACATCCTGAAAAAGGTAAAACTTCTAGAAAATAAACAATTATTCATTTTCTCATACAACATATAGATAACCAGGCATGAGAACCAATTCTGGCTCTAAATTAAAAAGACGAATTCAACTAGTAAAGATCACAGTAGTCGAGAAAGGAGAAATAAGTAAAATAAAAAATAAAAAAATTCTTTTAAAGAATATATCCACGACTTTAAATTGCCTAGGTCCATAAAAATTCAATTAAAATTCATTTTAACCCAATCAATTATGGCCAAATAAATGAAAAATACACCAAGTGGAAAATACCTGAGTTCGATTTTCCAATGCGCCACATCTGATTGAATAGAAACATGAGGAAGATAATCAATTGGGTTCATCTATACTGTATATTGCATGACCGCATATACATCCAATTTGCCTTCGCTTGGTAACCAAAATCAAATAATATGACTCCAAAAACTTAATGCAACCTTTACAAAATGAACAAAAAAAACTCAATTATATACTGAAATGTACAGAAATAATAATATAATAGTAATAATATAAATAATAAGGTCTTTAACACCCCACCACCCCAAAAAAAAAAGACCTCTTGTTCCTGTCACTCCCAATTAAATTGAAGCAAGTTTTTGATTTCCTGAGGGGGAATAAACCACCGGATCCTCGTTGATATTTAGATCAGACGGCTCTGATCGATCAATTTTCAACACTCGAAAAAACCTCTTGTTCCTGTCACTCCCAATTAAATTGAAGTAAGTTTTTTATTTCCTGAGGGGAATATACCACCGGATCCTCGCTGATATTTAGATCAGACGGCTCTGATCGATCAATTTTCAACACTCGAAAAAACCTCTTGTTCCTGTCACTCCCAATTAAATAGAACCTCTGCTCGAAAACACCCAAACTCAATTCAGTTGAATAGCCCTTCGTTTATCAATTATTTGAAAATTACAGTTAAAAAAAAAAAACCCTCACCGCTCTGGTCTCCTAAAGCTTGAACTTCTCAAGGGAGTAGGAATTGGGGTCTATCTCGGGGTGGATTTTTGCGGAAGAGGAAGCATATGCAGGCAAATGAGATTTCGCCATTGAAATAAGCTTCATACTGATCTTGTCGGGTACAGATTTTGTTTATAGGATTCCAATTCCATGGTGGAGGGATTTCAACGGTCGGGTTAATTACATTTTGAAGTCCGGTCACACTTAATTACATTTTAAAGTTAGATCAAATTCCCTTTCCCACCCTAGGTTTGGAAAATCTATTTCCCATCCCTAATTTCGGAACAATCTGTTCCACCCAATTTTTAAATTTCAAATATTATGCTTAACCGTCAAAGCGTATATACATCTTCTTATGCAATATATACAAACTTGAATTAAAAAAAAAACTTAAATCAACCATAATCTCTCTCATTATTTTTTAAATTAGAAAATTAATCCAAAAACAGATGTTTAAAAAAAAAAAAATTTGAAAGTTTATATATTCTTTTTTGGTATCTATGAGTATTCGGCCAGACTAGTTTGCGCATACCTTTTAAGTAATACACTTAAAAGTCTCAAGCGAACCGTCAAACTATTTAGAGGTAATTATGAAAATTTAATATTGATGGTGTGAAAGTTTGATTTTGTATCATCCAAAAAACATTTTTATCATAAATAGAACACAAATTTAGAAGAGATAATGAGAAGACATTTCAAAATCTATTACTTTAACCGAAATTTTTTAAATGATTTTAATATATATATATAGATGATTTAATCGTTTCAAAATTAAAAGTCTACTTTACCCCTTTCCATGACTTACCAACTTAAAAAATATTTTTTTATATTCCTTCTTTTTATTAATCAAAAAATATATATATCTAAAATACCGGCATTTTTATTTTGTCTCAAACTAAAATTACTTAAAGGTTTTATAAAAGATCTAGTCTTTGTTTGTCTCATAATACAAATTTCTAACTGTTTGACTACAATAAAATTTGTCTTAAATAATTTTTTTTTTTTTTAATAATCGAGGTGTCCGGACTAATTTTCACGCATCTCAACTAATTTTCAGGATTTATTAAACACTTTATAATTTTTAAATAATTATTGCGGACTATCTAGTTATGTCCTTTTTTTTTAAATGGCTAGCTTTAATAAATTTTTAATGTCTTAACTAAAATATAATTATTTCTAAAGTTGATAGAGCAATATTTCAACATCTATTATTTATTTAATCATGTTTTAATTATTTCATTCATACTAATCTCATTTCTTATAATTATCATTTATTATTTAGCCATTTTATCTCTTTAAAAACACAATTATGATATGTTTTATTATATCTAAAAATCAACTAAATGTGTAACCTTACTTGGGATAGCATAATTGTAAGTTCAAGTAGGGGTGAGCACGGATAGCGAGTAGAACCAGAATTGGAACCGATAATATGTGGGTAGGTTCCGATTCCATTTTTTTAAAACCAACACTGTGCGATTCCAGTTCCTAATCGGAACCGAAACTTGGGAAAAGAACTTGAAGCAGGTACCCGGTCTGGAACCTGCTTAGAACCGAGGGCGAGTACTCAGTTTGGAACCTGCTTAGAACTGAAGGCGGGTACCTGGATTGTAACCTGTTTTAGAACATCGACTGAAAAAATAACTATGAAGAATGGGGGGTCTACCGTAATTTTAAATATAAAAAAAAAATTAAAAATGGAAAAAATTAAATTTTGACAATAACCTAATTAAAATTATATATACAATTATACATATAAACTACAACATATAAAAAACTTTAATATATTATAATAACCTAATTAAATATATACACATATATAGTAATATATACTTCACTATATATATATATAATAATATATTAAAAATTTTATATATATAAAACTTTAATATATTATAATATTAAAGTTTTGGTTAATTATTTGATTAATTAAGTGTATAATTGAAATTAGAATCAAATTAAAAGTGATTTAATGTTATTAAAAAAAATTATTTTTGAACAAAATAGTATATTTGATTGAATAATAATATAATATTTAATTATTTACTTCAATTATCAAGTTCTAAGTATATCTATAATAAATTAGTAATTAGTTAATTATATATGATAAATGGACAAACATTAGTATATTAATAGTTAAATGATTACTTAATTAATTATAACATTAAATTATAAATATTAGTAATCTATTACATTAAAAATTTAGTGCATTACTTAATTAAATGATTAGAAATTTAATTAATTATGATATTATATTATAAATTTATTGTATGATTACTTAATTAATTATAACATTACATAAGTAAATGATTAATTAATTAATTAATTATAACATTATATTATAAACATTAGTAATTTATTACATTAGTACAATGTTTAATTAAATGATTAGAAATTTAATTAATTATAACAGTAGATTATAGATTTATAGTATGATTACTTAATTAATCATAACATTACATTATAGTTAAATGATTACTTAATTAATCATAACATTACATTATAGTTAAATGATTATTTAATTAATTATAAATTTATAACAGTGATTTATTATATTAATATATTACTGAATTAAATGATTAGAATTTTAGTACAATATTTATGAGTCACATTAGACATAAATGAATAAGTAATCAAAAGTTGAAAACTACTAAATGCAGGTTTTTTTAATTTGTTAGGCGTATATTTGTAAACTTTTAAAGTATTTTTGTTATTTTTTAAACTAATAGTGAGATAACAATTTTTTACAATGTACCCACGTAAGGAACCAGAACCTATATTTCAGGTTTCGGTTCCTTGAATTTAAGAACCAAAACCGACAGGTTCTAGTTTCGATTCCCTTTTCTAGGAACCTGTACTATGCGGTTTTTGTTTTGATTCTTTGAAAATTGCAGGGTATCGGGAACTACTCATCCCGAAGTTTAAGGTTGATTTGGTAGATTTTGATATTTATAATTGAGTGAAAGATTTAAGAAATTTATTAACCTGGTAAATAATATGAGGGGGTAAAATAGATTTTTAATTTTAAAATTGGATGAAAGTTTAAAATATCACTAAGGATGTGAGTGTATTTATATTTTTATATTAAAGTAGATGAATTAGATATTAACTGATCCAAAAAAGGGTAAAGTACACCCGACAACAGCTCTGTTTCATAAATTTTTTAGAATAACATTTTTTGAAAGTATAAAAGGATTTTGAGAAAGTTTTGGGTATAATTATGAATAGCTTTTTATAAAAATATTTATTATTTTAACTTCTTACGTTTATTAATTTAACTAAACACTTCACTATAAAAGTTTATAAATTGATAAAAACTTTGCCTCCCATCCACCCATATATTGTCGGCAATGGACTTCAACGCTTGCATTTGAACGCAAGATGAACCTAAACTTAAAACATGTTTCAACTTCAACGCTTGCATCTGAATGCGACAATTTTCTCCTTTACAATTCCAAACCATAACATTCCACTCTTCCCTTGAAACCTCTCACACTCATCTTCTTCAGGTCTTTTTTTTTTTTTTTTTAATTGGTTAATTGCATATCGCAATTGTATTTTAAGGATATTGCTCTATTTTTTTTTTTTTTTATTTTTATTCTATTTTATTTTATGATATTGCTCTTATGTATTTCTGGGTATAAGCTTTAAACCTCAATCCAGTATCATTTGTATTTATATTAGCTTTGATATGATTTGGGTATATTTTGTTTCTTTTTTATTATTTGAAGTATAAATTAGGAGCTCAAGACATTTGGTGAACAAATCTATGTCGGAGAAGTTTTCGGTTCTTTTGATAAGGTACTTTTGATTTATGATTTTACGTTATTTATGTATGCATACTGATGTTAAATTTCTTGTGTCGTGTTTGTATAATTTGGTAATAGTTTGTAGATAAATTTTAATCAACTTACGTCATCAGTTTTTTGTTAAAATTTTAATACTTTTAGAGTGCAATTTGTTTTCAGTGCAATTGTAAGAGATCAATGGTGACAAGAAGGAAAAACAGGTGTGACCTGTTTTCTACTGGCCCATTAAACATCCATTTTAAAGAAATTATGGGAATGGAGTTGTGTGAGGTGACATCAATGGTAGTTTGCTGAAAAAATTGATTTTCAGACATGGGGAGTAAAGAAGATTGTGGTGAAACTTGGGACCGATTTGAAACAAAACCTTTATATCTGTTTTAAGTGATAATAAATTTTATGGGGAGAGTGAAATTGTTCCAGTTCTTAACTTTAATTGGGTTCTAGTTTTCAGCCGCTGGTATCTGACCTGTTTTGTCTTGATGAGATATTTCCTATTGTTTTGTTTTAATATCCAAATGAGGAGAAAGCTGGTCCTGAGTTGCGACGAGGGTTGTTAGAAAATGGTTTAAAAAATGCAACAAATTGATGTAGTGGCATTGTGATGAGACTAACAATACCTTGGCATATAGGAGGAAAAATAAGGGCGCAAACAGAAGATTGAAGGACTCGGGTCAGGCTTTGAGCGTGATGGAGGGTGGTTTTGGGTTTATGGGAAAGTGACAAGTGGCAAATGCTGAGTGGTTGGGGAGCTAAATTCAGTTACAACAATAGAGCACGAAGAATAAAAGGCAGCGGAAAGGATATGTGGAGGAGCGAATTTTGTAGAGGGAAGGGATTTGGGGAGATGCTGGCTCTCGAAGTCCAGTGGGTTCTTATTGTTGGCAGACTCATCCTGGATGAGCTGTTTTTCTAATTTAATTGATTATTGTTTTATTTGAGTTGTAAAGAATTGTTATCTTAATAGAATTTACTTTGATCTGTCATTGAGTACAATTATCAAATCTGTCCAGCATTGTTGTGTGCCATTGAGAGTAGTATTGTGGTTAGAATTGGTTGACTGAAAATTCTGGGTTGATAACTAGCAAAATTGAAATAATCTGGGAAGTGTCTATGAGTTAAGCGTGACAGAGGTAGGCTAAGTTTCTATCAAAGTGGTATCAGAGTAAGGTTATGGTTGGTACAAGAATGGAGAACAAGGTTGATAAGATTGAAAGTGAACTGGGTACGATCAGAGAGTGTTTGGTTGAGATGCAGGCATGGATGAGACGAAAAGATATAGAAGAAGCTGGAAAGGGAGAAGGGAGTGGATCAGCTGGAGTTAATGGGGAAAACGACCAAAACCAAGGGGAGGCAGATGACAATCACAACCACCGTGAGTGAGGAACACCGAAGTATGGTGGCCGAAAATTGGATATACCAATCTTTACAGGAGACGATCCATATGGGTGGCTTTTCAGAATCGAGAGATACTTTGGCGTGTACAGAATCTAGGAGGAAGAGGGTCGATTAAACACTGTTGCGGTTTGCATGGAAGGTGATGTTGTTAATTGGTTTCAATGGATGGAAATTTGAGCTCCTATGACGTCGTGGGCCACTTTCAAACTTTTTCCCTTATTCATAGGTTTAGTAGGTCTCAAGAGGAAGGACCTTATGAGGCGTTAATGGCAATTAAACAGACAGGAACTGTGGAGGAGTATCGCAAAAAATTTGAAGCAACATCTGCCCCTCTTCGTGAGGTTAAGGAAGATGTTTTGTGAGCTGCATTCATCAATGGGCTTAAGCCCGAAATTAAAGCTGAAGTAAGATTGAGGAGGCCTGAAACATTGGTCCAATTAATTGAATTAGCCCAAAGGATTGAAGACAAAGATTGGGCCTTAGAGGAAATTAAAAATGGAATGAATAGAGTGACAGGTTTTGGGCAAATAAAAGTCAAAACTCTTTTAGTGGAGTGGGGTCAGGTCGTCAGATTGGGTCCAATAGCCAAGGATTCAAATATAATAATAATTTCCAACCTTCATTCACAAGTATACCCAGATCTAATAACCTCCATGACCAGCAACGACGATTTCCAACTCCAAATACTAACCCAAACAACAGCCAACGAAGTAGCAGCTCCATCGTTAATTAGCCCATAAAGCAGAATCTCCCCATTCACAGAGAGTTTCCCTTTAAACACATGACTGAGAACGAGATCCAGAAGAAAAGAGAGAGAGGCTTATGCTTTAGGTGTGATGCAAAATTTTTTCCTGGTCATCGTTGTGGAGACAGACAATTTCAAGTCATCCTTGTGGAAGAAGAAGAGGAAGAAACTCAGCTTGTTAAAGGGGAAGAGATGAACGAGGAAGCTGAGGAAGCTAACCAGGAGGATGTGGAGTTGTCACTCAGTTCTGTCGTGGGAATCAATGGGCCAAGAACCATGAAATTGAAGGGGAAAATTCGGGATACAGAGTTGATTGTTTTGATTGATAGTGGAGCGTCTCATAATTTCATTAGTAGAGGAGCAGTGGAGAAATTAAAAATTCCTATTACTGGAACACAGTCGTTTGGAGTGAGGGTAGGGGATGGTTACCGGGTGAGAAGTGAAGGTGAATGCCGAGGAGTCTGTATTGATCTTCAGGGAGTGACTGCAGTGTTGGATTTCTTCCCATTTGATATGAACAGTTCGGATGTGGTGTTAGGAATGGCCTGGTTAGAAACGTTGGGAGAAACCATGATAGATTGGAAAAATCAGGTAATGAGATTCAAGGAGAAAAGTAAGACGGTGACACTCTGTGGGGACCCAGCTCTGAGCAAGACATTGGTCTCTCTGAAGGCAATGTTGAAGACAATTCAAAAGGAAAGGCAGGGCTATTCAGTAGAATTCGGATCTTTGCAAAAACAGCCAGAAAATGGGGACGATGTGGACAGTTGATTGAGAGAAATTTTGGATCAGTTCCAAGGGGTTTTTAAACCTTTAACCGGCCTACCTCCCATTAGGAACCATGAACACACCATTCGGCTTTTACCCAACGCACAACCACCAAACATCCGACCTTACCGCTATCCCTACTACCAAAAAAAATGAGATTGAGAGAATTGTCAGAGAAATGTTAGCCTCCGGCATTATCAAACCAAGCATCAACCCATTCTCTAGTCCCGTGTTATTAGGCAAGAAGAAAGATGGTGGATGGAGATTCAGTGTCAATTATCGAGCGGTAAACAAAATCACAGTCCCGGACAAATTCCCAATACCAGTAGTGGATGAGTTATTTGATGAATTGGGGCGGGGGGTGGGCGGCGCTACAATCTTCTCCAAATTAGATTTGACGTCGGGGTACCACCAAATCAGAATGAGAGGAGAAGATACTCTGAAGACCGCCTTTTGAACCCATGAAGGCCATGATGAATTCCTAGTCATGCCCTTCGGTCTAACTAACGCACTGGCAACTTTCCAAGCTCTAATGAATGACATTTTTCGGCCATACTTGCGGTAGTTTATTCCAGTGTTTTTTTTGATGATATTCTAGTATACAGTGCGAATATGGATGATCACGTGCGACACTTAACAATCACCTTGCAGACAGTGTACAAGAATAGGTTAGTTGCCAACCACAAAAAATGTTTCTTTGGGCAGTGAGAACTCGAGTATTTAGGACACATCATTTCGTCAATCGGAGTAGCAGTTGACTCTTCCAAAATTGATAGCATTCTGCAATGGCCAGTTCCGAAAAATTTAAGAGCTCTCCGAGGATTCCTAGGCTTGACAGGGTATTATTGGAGATTTGTCAGTGGGTATGGTAAGATTGCACTTCCTCTAACTGCACTATTAAAGAAAGATGCGTTCAAATGGAACAGTGACGCACAGAGGGCCTTCGAAGAATTGAAACAGGTTATGACTTCAGTACCAGTTTTAGCTATGCACGATTTTTCTAAGGAATTCGTGATTGAGACAGATGCATATGGCCATGGGTTGGGGGCTGTTCTCATGCAAGAAAATAAACCCTTGGCATTCTTGAGCAAAGGGTTGTCGTTACAGTCTCGACTTAAGTCAGTTTATGAGAGGAAGCTTATGGCTGTGGTCATGGCAATCCAGAAGTGGAGACATTATTTATTGGGCAGACATTTCGTGATAAAGACAGATCAGAAGAGTTTACACTTCTTAAATGATCAGAGACTGTTGAGTGAGGATCAGCAAAAGTGGGTGATGAAATTGATGGGGCTTCGCTTTGAGATTCAATAAAAACCGGGTTAAGAGAATAAAGTAGCTGATGCACTTTCTAGAAGAATTGAGGTTGGGGAACTTAATGCTTTATCCATGAGTTGTTTTGCAGGTAGAGAAGACTTGGAAAATGCGATCCACCAAGATGCCAAGTTGAGGAAAATAGTGCAAGAACTACTGATTCACCCATCCAACCGACTGCCTTATAAACTGGTGAGGAACCAGTTGATGTACCGTGACAAGTTGGTTGTGCCACGCATGGGGGCGCATATTCAAATGTTGTTACAAGAGTTTCACTCGTCTCCCATGGGTGGTCACTCAGGTTTTTTTCGCACTTACAAACGCTTGGCCAATGTAGTGTATTGGGAGGGTATGAAAAAGGATATATGCACCTTTATTGAGGCATGTGAGGTTTGCCAAAGGAGTAAATATCAAGCTCTGAGTCCGGCTGGGCTGTTGCAACCGTTACCTATTCCAAATCAGGTGTGGGAAGACATTTCGATGGATTTTATCACGGGCTTACCAAGGGCTTTTCAAGTTGACACCATTTTGGTGGTGGTAGACCGTTTAACCAACTATAGCCACGTTCTCACCCTGAAACATCCATATACAGCTCGAGATGTTGCAAATTTATTCATTAAAGAGGTTGTTCGGCTGCATGGGTTCCCGTGTTCTATCGTCTCGGATCGCGATCGAGTGGTCATTAGTCATTTTTGGTGTGAGATGTTCAAGCAATCTGGAACCCAACTCTGTATGAGTTCAGCCTATCACCCGTAAATAGACGGTCAGTTGGAAGTAGTAAACCGCTGTTTGGAAATATATATTTGTTGCTTTGTTAGTGCTCAACCCTGATAATGGCCCAAATGGATTCCATGGGCAGAGTTTTGGTTTAATACTACGTTTAGCAGCTCAATTGGCATGACACCCTTTAAGGCATTGTATGGTCGAGACCCTCCAGTCATCCTGAAACATTCTGAACGTCCTTGTCATGTTGAAGAAGTCAACCGACAACTGCATGACTGCAATAATATCCTTCAAGAACTAAAAGATAATTTGGTCAAGGCTCAAAATTGGATGAAACAGTTTGTTATTGATCTACTTGGACTTGGAGCTGCTTTGGCCCTCACAGAGGTGGGAGTGGGACCTACCTCAGCTGCTGAATTGCCGTTGTTGGCCTCATCTTTGCAACTGAGTGAACCATCCAATGTCTTGTCCTTGTCCACCTGGGCCGTGCATGTCTCCAGTGTTGTTGAATGGTGAGGGTTTTCGTCTGTCACAATTGTGGCTATTATAATAATTGTGTTTTATTTTTTCTCATTATTGCTAAGTTTGATGAGTGAAAATTTGATAGAAAGCAGGTATCTCCTAGGCATGTTTGTGTGTGTTTTCTCTAGGTTTTACTTGGAAAATGAAATGCTAACCACAACTTAGCTATATAGCTTCATTATTATAACTTTGTTGTGTTGTACAGTTGTATGAATTTTCTCTTTATACCGATAATTAACATTCAGTATATTTTGGGGTTTGACTTTTGAGTTCTTCAACCATTTCAACCAAAAAAAGAAGCAGTATATATGCCCCAAAACGGTGTTGTAGCATGTTTTGTAAATGCCAAGTGGATTAATTAAGAAAACGATTATTCTATTTAGATTAGGAAAATGATTATTATTGGATCCAACCAAAATACATGATAATTTAATAATTTAAAAACTAATTATGTTTATACCATTTTTTAAAATTATATAAAAATTATATAAAAACTATTTTGTTAAATAATTTATTGTATTTCAAATATATTGTACTACTATTTTAAAGTTATTGTAATTTATCATAATGTCTACATTACTCATGACAAAATAACACTTTTAAAAATTATATAAGAACTATTTTGTTAAATAATTTATTGTATTTCAAATATATTGTAACACTATTTTAAAGCTATTGTAGTTTATCATAATGTCTATATTAGTCGTGACAAAATGCATTTGATAAAATTAATTTTATCATAATATAATATATTTCTTGTAGTGATTATCACAATTATACAAATTAAATTTGGATGACAATAATAAATATGATCCATAATTCTTTACATAAGATTTATAAGTTCTTAAAGTCCTTTCAATTGGACACATCCATCGAAATCCAGTTGCAATTGTCAAGGTTTTAAAAACATGGCCTTGACCGGTTGGTCGGTTCAACCGGTTGAATCGGGAAACGGTGATTAAGTGGAGTCGGTTCGACTAAAAAACTGGAAATATTAAATGATCCAGTTTGAACCGCGGTTGGACCGGATTTTTTGTTACGAACCACCGGTTCATCCCAGTAATTGAACATCTTCATTTTTATTTTTAGTTTTTATTTTTTTTATAACATAGAATGTCTAGCTAATGAATTCATAGAGAAGGGTGAACGTCAGAGTCCATGCGTAAAGCTCAAAGGGCTTAAATGAGCATGCACCATTCAAACGGCCATAACTTTTGATCCGAGAAGAGTTAAGAGTCTTATTAGGGTTGACTGTCTCCCTATATAAACTTATTTTTCGTTTTAGAGACCATTCAATGCATTATTCGGATTTTTCTTTAGCTTTCACATTTTAAGTTTCTGGATTGAGACTTGTTTATTAGTTTTAAAGGTGTGGTCGAGTGCTACCCTTGTCTATTCATGCTAACTCGCTACATCATTTTGTATGTCATGTTGACATTAGAATGACATCATCACGCGCATAAACCAGTTTGACCGACCAACCCGATGACCGAACCGGAGTCACTCCTTGGGTCGGGTTTTAAAACCTTGACAATTATCAATAGTCATGGCTGGATTCTAGCATGAGTAATATCAACATTCCATTTATACACTCTATTTCTATTACTCCATAATGTAAATTAGGTCTACTAATATGAAGATATACATTAGTGATTAATAAAAAAGGATAAAAACTATAAACCCACCACTCAATTGATATCTTAATAATATTATTAATATTATTTAGGTTTAGGTCAATATAATAAACCTACAATAAAACAAGATAAAACAATAAACCTGCCACTGATGAATTGATATCTTAGTATTATTATTATTTTTTAGTTTTAGGTTAACATAATATTTTATATAGCAGCCAACCAAATCACAATGCCCATAAACCCGCCACCTATATTGATCATGATCTCTTTATTAAAAGAGAAGTTACAACTTACAAGTAGGGCCATTATAATATTATTCTTCCTCCAATTTTTTCCCTCCCACATATTTTATGATTTTATCTCAAACTCTCTCTCTCTCTCTCTCTCTCTCTCTCTGTGGCGCTTCAATTCACATTTTTTATGTCAGACTGTCTCTCTGTTGCGCTTCAATTCACATATTTTATGTCAGACTCTCCTTGTCTCTCTCTCGGTGGCACTTCAATTCATTAAGGCACCAATCTGCATTGTTAAGGTTAGTAGGGAAACACAGCAAATTAAGGTTAAATTACATTTTATTTTCGTTTCAAAAAAATCTGGAATATTAATTCTTCAATTTTTTTTTTTTCTTTGCTGTTCAACATGGTTGTTTGATAATTTGATTTCTTTTTAGTAGCTAAAAATCTCTTTTTGATGATTTGTTTTAGGCCGAATGACTTGTGCATACCCAAGGTTTACCATAACGACAAGTTGGTACCCAAAAGGTTTTAAAACGATAAATAGATACATTCCGTCATGTTCTGTTAGTGATTTTTGTTTATTAATAGTGAAAAGACTAAAATGCCCTTCAAAGTTTCAATTTTAGTTTTTTATAAATTTAAAAATTTCTAAAAAACCCCCTGGTTTGCTAATTTAATTAAACACCCCCATATATAAACGTTTGTTAAATGACAAAAACACCCCCACCACCCCCAGTGCCAGATTCCAGCCATCATCGCCGAAATCTGGCCGGAAAACTGCATTACGACACAGATCCGTCGGATCTGTGTCGTAACGTGCCGATCTGGCCTTTTCCAGTCAGATCCGCCACGGATCTGGCCGGAAAAGGCAAGATCTGGCCGTCGAAGCAGCAGCCAGATCTGGCCTTTTCCGGCCAGATTCGTGGCTGATCTGCCCGGAAAAGGCCAGATCTACTGCCAGATCTGGCCGTCGACGCCGCAGATGGAGTTTTACGGTATCGACGGCTAGATCTAGCCGTAGATCTGGCCTTTTCCGGCCAGATCAGCCACAGATCTGGCCGGAAAAGGCCAGATCGACGCGTTACGACACAGATCCGACGGGTCTATGTCGTAACGCAACTTTCCGGCCAGATTTCGGCGGTGGTGGCCGGAATCTGGCCCTGCGGGTGGCGGGGGTGTTTTTGTTATTTTACAAAATTTTTATATATTAGGGTATTTAGTTAAATTTGTAAACTTAGGGGGTTTTTTAGAAATTTTTAAATTTATAAAAAACTAAAATTCAAACTTTTAAGGGCATTTTAGTCTTTTCACTATTAATAAACAGTAATAAACAGAAATCACTAACAGAACATGACGGAAAGTACCTATTTATCATTTCAAAACCTTTTGAGTACCAACTTATCGTTATGACAAACCTTGGGCACGTGTAAGTCGTTCTCCCTTTGTTTTATTTTGTAATTGAATTCACATATTTTTATGTCAGACTCTCCTTCTCTCTCTCTCGGTGGCACTTCAATTCATTAAGGCACCAATCTGTATTGTTAAGGTTGGTAGAGAAACACAGCAAATTAAGGTTAAATTAAATTTTATTTTCGTTTCAAAAAAATCTGGAATATTAATTCTTCAATTTTTTTTTTTGCTGCTGGATTCAATCCATAGTTTCAACATGGTTGTTTTGGTAATTTGTTTTCTTTTTAGTAGCTAAAAATCTCTTTTTGATGATTTGTTTTATTTTGTAATTCAATTAGGGATTTGTAATTTATTTTAAGAAAATTGTGCATTTTAATTTCCATTTTATGGATTAAATTCATTGTTATAACATTATCGTTTTGTAATTTGATTTCATTATAATAGCTAGAATTTGATAGAATATAAACTTGATTTTTGATTTGAGAAATTGGAAGTCAAAATTATGTTCATTAGGCTTGTTTTTGTTTTTTATTATTGGTGACTCACTTGCAACATAAGTTTTGCAAACCTAGGTTAATTCCACTTTCCACTGGATTGAGCATTTTTTTTTAGTATTGTTTGTGTGCTTGTTAACCTTCTTTGTTTTGACCAGATGCGAATCTTGCTCTACCACCCCTTTCTTTAAAAAGAGAGAACTCTAGTGAATGGCCACCAGCCTAAGAATGTAGACTTGTTCACAATACATTTATAGATAAAGGTTTCTAGGCGAGAACCCTATATAGAGATAGAGATTGACTCCCATTCACGGTGGGGAAATCTGAACCTATTAGTAAGCTAGTTCCCGAAATAGGACATTTTTTCTAGCTGCACATGCCTCTCACAATTTATGTTAAATATTTCATGAACACAATTTTTCAAGTACTAGACTAACTAGTTTAGCTTTATAAAACTACCCATGCATGATTAGCTAGCCAAAACTTTGATATTAATTTATTTATCTATGTTAGATGTTTAATAAGAATAGGAACAAGGGTAAATAAAAATCGACACGAACATGAATACTTCTCATAATACTCATATTTCGTCAACTCCTCCTACGGCATCTGCCTCTCCGGCATGGACTCCTCCGACATTGAGTCCTTATTCGACTCCTCCGGCTTCAATACATATTACACTTATCAGTCTTATTGGAGATAATAGTATATCAGGTAGTATTTGTATATGTTAATGTTTGAAATTATTTTATTTTATTCATTATAATATTGAATGTAAATTTTTAAATATTGCAAGAGCCTCCTCCTTCAAAGAAGAAAGTACGTATGACAATACGTGGAGTAAGCACCGAAAATATTGTCAAGGTCTCTGGGAAGATTAGGATTGTGATGGATCCTGAAACTGGGAGACCCACATGTGAATTAGCTTCAAAGCGACTATCAAGTGAATGTGGGTTTTTGGTACGAACCATGGCTCCACATCAGGCTAAAAAGTGGATGAAGATTGACCTTGATGATAAAAAGTTGATTATGACTCGTTTATTGGTAAACTTGTTTTTAATTTTATTAATTACAATTTTTTTATTACAATATATTGAATAATTACTAATATATTGACTATATATATATATATATAAAATTTTGTAGACAAAATTTGATATTGATTTGAATGATCCTTTAGTCCTTGAGTACCTTAATAGTCTTATGGGTAGGGCTTATCACGATAATAGTTATGATCTTGCTGAGTATTTTCGAGGTTTTGAGGATCCTGAAGAAGCACGACGACACCCTTATAAAGATGTGCAACCAGAAGATTGGGATTGGTTATGCACATTTTTTGCTAGTGAAGATTATCAGGTAATATTTTTTAATATTTATGATTTTTACTAGTAACATTATGTGGATGATTTATACTCAGTTGCTTAGTTATTATTTAATGTTTATTATTGAAATATTATCTAATATTTATTTTGGCTAAACTAAAATATTATTATATATTTCATTATGCATCATGATTCAATTTTCAGAAACTTTCGAAAGTAAACAAGGCCAATCGTGCTAAGTTGCCGTACAATCATTATGGTGGGTCAAAACCCTTTGTTTTTCACCGAACAAAAAATTTAGAGGTTTGAAATATTTATTTTTGAGTAATTTTATATTTAAAATGTATATTTTAATTGTTATTTATTTGTTCATTTTTTGAATATTAATTGTCTTTTATTTGTTTATTTTTTGAATATTAGGATCTTCCTGAAGGCCAGCTCCAAGGGGAGGTGCATTTATTCCATGACACTCATTTTAGCAATAAAAGAAATACTTGGATAAATGATGAAGCTAAGGCTCGATATGTAAGTATTATGTAGTTTTTTTTTTTTTTTGTATAAAAGTTTATTATATTTTTATATTATAACCTAATACCTTTTAATTTTTAATTTATAAAATTATATTGTTTTTATTTATATATTCGTGCATATGGACATATATATTATTTTTGTAGGAACAAATAGAGAACATTCTCAATCAGGAGTCTGAAGAAGGTTCTCAGCCACCTACTCAATTAGAGATCACTCAACAGGTTTTGGGAAAAAAAACTTGGTTATTATCGTGGATTAGGTTATGGTCCAAAACCACTTGCATCTTCGAAGACTAGAAAGCAAGCCGATCAAAAGTTTTAGAGGAACTCACACACTTGCGGGAGGAGGTGCAAGAACTACGAGGCATAAGAGAAGAATTTCACCAATATAGGCAAACGATGGAGAAGATGCAGCAGTTCATTGCAATGAATATGGGTTCTCGATCTAATGGCTCACAAATATTTTTGGGTCCATTTCCACCGGATCCTCCACCACCTGCAACAATTTGAGTTTTTATTTGTCACTTTTTGTTGAACATTAAAAATTTAGCCAACTTTATATATTTTTAACTTTTTATTTAAAAACAAACATATATAGTTCTATAATATATTTGGTTCGATATATTTGTTTGATTTGAATTAATTACATTTACAAATTGATATTTATGTTTAGAATTAAATTTTAGAATGTCTAAGATAAATTTTATATATATATATATATATATATATATATGGGCGACCACAATTATATTTCGACGTTGTAGACTTTTAGCTATGAAATACATTCAAAGTTGAAAAGTTTTGTTGATGATTTTTACATTTTGTCTCTAATAGTTTCAAGTGACAAAATATAAAGTACCGTCATGTTATACTTTAGACGACACATATAGAGATTACGTTGCTATTAACTTTCGGCGACAACAACTCATATTTTATCGCACTACATGTTAGGCGACAAAACGTCACATTTCGTCGCTGTATACTTTAAGCGACGCTTATAATTATAATGTCGCTATTAACTTTATGCAACAAAAATGCACATTTCGTCATGGTATATTGTAGGCGAGCAAAATTCATATTTCGTCGCGGTGTAAGTTAAGCGACAAAAACACACATCTCGTTGTTGTATAGCGTAGGCAACACAATAGAGAATACGTTGCTATTAACTTTAGGCGATGACATTTAATATTTCACCGGTAATTAGATTTAGCGACAAAAATGGTATAGGCGACAATTTTTTTGTTTGTCTTGTCGCCTGATTTAGCGACGAATTTTAATAAATTGTCACCTAAAATCAAGCGCGACATGCTTACCGCGACGATCATGGAGACGATTTTTTTTCGTCGCTAAACGTATACCACAACAATTTCTAGGTTTTTAGCAACAACAAAATTCGCAGCTAAAGGCCTTTTTTGTTGTAGTGATAATTGACTCTAAATTTTCTGTTCAAAAGGATTACCGCAATGGCTTTAGTGTGGCAATATGGAGAAAAATCTGGGTACGAAGCATGGAAAGTTCTTTCATGGGGAATGGTGAGTTCCTTTTTTCAATCTTTGCTAGTTACATTACATTCCTTGTATGACTAACCTAAAATTTTAGAATGCATTATTAATTGGTTTATGCTCGGTAAACATGTTTCGTAGATGAATTTTGTGTTTATTCAAAATTCTAAAGACCTATGAAATATTTTCTTCAATTACTTCGCTAAATTAGAAGCATAAGTAATCAAACTAGGACTGTTCTAGTTTGCTTTAATATGATTTTAAGGGATAGGTTGACAATTTATAATTAAGTCAATACACTGTGAAATGTAGTCCCCCCTACAAATTTGGTTTATAGCCTAAACTTACAAATTCTAAATACTAAACTCTACACAACACAAGTCTAAATAGACTTGACCTAGTTATAAGGATCGTAAAACTCGTTCCAACTTCAATAAGAAAATAAATGGACCAAAGCAACTGATACACGAACCATAATAGGATGATTATGACTGTATAAAATCCTGTTGCCCCTTTATGTTGCAGTCTTCTTGGAAATAGTTGGAATGATACTGATCCTAGTTACCTTCTTACTTTAATGGGGACAGTACTTGTCTTTGAATGTCTTATATCTTTTAGGTATTAGCCTTTCAGATTGGCTTGTAGGTTCTGATTTATTTACACAATAAGTGCTGACTCATTTATATTTACAACTTTCTATAGAGCGCACACTTTGTACCCCTGCTTGGTGGAGCATTTTGTGCATGCACATGGCATTTCATTTATAATTCTGAGTCTCTTGAGGTGAGCTTTATCGTTTCTAAAGTTATTTATTCACTATACATTTGTTTTGAGTAATAGTATGAATTTATTGAAATGGAGAAGCTGTTGTTAACTGGTTTTAATCAAATGGTTCATTTACTTTACTTTGATGCTTTACACTAGGTTACTCACTGATAGGCTTGACTAAGTATAAAAAGAACAAGTGAAATTAGTTAAGCAAATTGAATAAATGTAGGAAATTACCGATTTAACACAATCATTGCTATGTATTTATTCCTGAATAAGGAGTTTAGCAGATGTTACTACTGTAGAGTAAAAAATTATGTGCTCCCTGAATTCTGTTATAAAGTTACAGTTGTGCTTGAGTAATGGAAGGAAATGAAACTGCGTATGATGTTATAGTGTGGTGTGTGGTTTTGTTCGATTGTAGATTGTGTTCACCAGTACTTGATGTTCTAATGAACTTTGCTGGTGTTACATAGAGAGTTTTACTTGCATATTGGTATCTGTGTCAGATAGGTGTTGATTTGAGGATTCAGTTCATGTCATTTTAGATTACATTAGAAGTGTGTCTAGTTCATTAAGTAATGATGTCTTGTATTAAACTGCTATTGCTTATTTTTAGTGTCTGAAACCCGGTTTTGAACAAATCAGATCTCCTTGGGTTCGAAACGGTTCTGAGGCTTGGTTAACTAACTCGGGGTATATCACATTTTCTTCTTTTGGCACACAAAAAGTAGTTTTTTCTTGGTAAACAAAAATGTGCATCAACATAAAGTAAATCGTATGTTCAATGGTTTCATAAAGCTTGGACATACAGAAGCTCTTCTATGTTGGATAAATTCTAAATTGATATGGTGTCAGACTTTTACACATTTTCACTTGAAGTTGGGGGATTTGGATCAGTTTTGTGTTAGACAAATTGCTTCCATCTAAGGTATTTTTTTACTGACAAAACCAGATTAGTAATTTAATCACTCCCTTGCAATTCTGTTTTGACCACCTAACCGTTTATGTATACAAACTTAGTGTTCAGTGTATCTGCTGGCTGGATTAGAAATCAGCAATCATATGTACTCACTTTACATCTGAGTATGTTATAAAGCGGCAACACAAAATTATATTTTTCTTTTGGCCGAGGCATTTCTCAACCCACTACATTCAGATTACAGTGATTATACATACTATGCATAGTTCCATAGTTCTATATATGAATATCTGAAGACCACAGTTATTTTCATTGAGCATTACACTTTTTTGTTGAACATTGCATTTCTGTGCCCTTGTGCTCGATTAAAGGAGAGTGATATTAATTTGAGATAAAGTATCTCGAATGACATGCATGTTAATCTACGATCTTTAGGTATTGATGGCTCTTCAAGCCGCGCTTATGGTGATAGGAAATGCTACAATGTGTTATGCTGCATTTCGAATATACAAATCGTCAGAGGAACGGTCGCAGAATCTGTAAATTCTTGTATTAGGATATAATCATGTGCTTGAATGCATATCCTTCTTGTCTATCAGACATATCCATAATGAAGGTAAGCAACTCGCCAACTCTCTGTTAGAATGATGAAAAAAAACCACCAGTTTTTTCCTATGGATTATAGTTGTTTAGCTTTTGCAGGAAAAAAGGAAATGGGATGCTGGAAATGTCCTTGATTGATGACAAATCCGATTTTCGTGGAGCTAAAATCTCGAAATTGGAGATAATTCTTTGCAAAACAGGTAATGGATTGTGATCATGTAGTTGTTGAGCAGCGATTGATGGAGTCAAATGCCATAATGTGTTAAGCAGTATCCGGAATGAAGAATTATATTTTCTCTTTTTGAATAGCTATAACTTATCAAGAAACAACTTTATATATGAATGGTGTTGATATATAACTATAAGATAGTGTTGTATATTTATTGTCTTATGCAAAGTAACATGGTTCCATAACCTAGAAATTTTCTTCTATGGGATTAACCTCATAGCATGATAAATTTAAGAAAAAAAAGTTCACAAAAATAATCTATATACAAAATTAAAAGATATATTCATAGTATTTTTCGTCACATAAATTTATAATTATTTCATATATTAAATAAAGGTTTTAAGTTTCAAAATTAAATTGAATATAATATAATTGTTCTTAATTATTATTATCTTTGTTTGTTTATCTATTAATCTCTTATCTAATTTCAATGTTCATAATCGTATTTATTAATAATAAATCAATGAATATAGACGTATTGGTTGTGTAAAGTTTAAAATATTCACACTAAATGAAATTTCTAATTCTTAAATTTTAATTGTAGTTTTTCTCCATCTATACTATACTATTATTAAAATATTCAATTGATTTTTAATTTTCACTTTGTCTACATTAGAAACAAACATATCATTTGCACTGTTATGGATTCCTAATTTATAGGGCCGCAAAAAAAAAAAGGGGAAACCGAACCGGACTGAGAAATCAGTTCGAAAAACTGGTTAACCGGTTAACCAGTTTCGGTTTCGGTTTCAAAAAATTGTTAAACCGGTTTTCCGGTTTATATTATTTCCATAACCGGTTAACCGAAACCGGTTTTCCTATAATCCTAATATAATAATATTATTTTAATTTTTAAAAATCTTTTATTATTTTTATTCTTTATCAGTTTGAAACTTTGAATCCCTAACTTCACAGTTTACACATTACACTCATACTCATCTTCTTCTTCATTAGCCGCCGCTGCCCTCTCATTAGCCGCCGCTGCCCTCTCATCTCAAAGACTCAAACTTATCCAACGAGAGAAAGGTACAATAATGAACACCTAAAGCCACAGTACTTTGCATTTAATGATAAATTACTTCAACACACTTATTTTAGAACGTCGTTCTTATTACGGAGCGAAACTTGCCTGCTGCAAAGATGGTTTTCCTCAGCTTAAATTCTACTTCTTTTTAGAAGAAGTTTACAAGAGTTGCAAATAGAGGAAGGAGGTATGCCTAAGCTTAGAAGTTTCCTCAGCTCATTTAAAGCAAGGAATTTCAGAATTCCGGAAAGACTGAAGAACCTCCCTTGCCCTGAAAACTGGGAATACGAAAGTTATATCGTCAACGAGTACTAGTGGTGTATATTGGGCTTGTGTTGAATTTTCTTTTAATTCGGTTTGTTTTCTGGCTGACACTTCAATTTGATATATCACCATGTAATTTGCATTCCTAATTTTATACTATTTAATTTACTGTTTCATTTTTAATTTCAACTTCTTTACTCATTAAATTTCTACTATATTTCTTGGTTGTGATTCAACTTACAAAGAAGAACAGCAAATTAAATCTTCATATTATCTCCTGAAAATCCTGAGTTTTTAAGAAATATAGTTCAAGTTTTTTTGGTGTCAAAAAATATAAATTTTCTAGAGTAAGAAATATCTTCTAAATTTTAGTGAACTTACAATGTAGAGAGCAAAAAAATTTATTAATAAAACCGGTTTGCAAACCGGTTAACCGGATTGCAAACTGAAAATTCGGTTCGGTTTGCAAACCGGTTAATGCAAAAAACCAGACCGGTTTCGGTTTGCCATATGGCTTGAACCGAAAAATCAGTTCGGTTACAAAATGCATGTATCCGGTTTGGTTACCCGGATTTTTGCAGCCCTACTAATTTATAAACATTTGTACTAGTCTAAACACTACAAGTTCCACCACTAAAAATTATAGCATATTTAATATATATTTTTCTACCAAATAGTACTAAAAAAATTAAAAAAAATAAGATGATATCTAATGATTCTACTATTGCTCCAATATTCATACATCATGATTAGGCTTCGTTGATGCAAAAAATTGCATCAACTAGAAGTACACATGATTTTTTATGAATGTACGCAGGAATCTATTTGAGATTCACGGATTTGATGTTGGACTAATAAAAGAACGAACACAATCACATAGAACAATTTTTTTTTTTTTTAAAAAAGTGGTTCAGATGCTTATGATGCAAATTCTACATCCACTGTTATGGTATTGAGTGTTTATGAGGACGAGGAACTAAGTTACAAAGAATTATCTCAAGGAATCCCTCAAGTTATCTCTCCCCTCAACCCTCTGTGAATAAATTTCTCTCTATGTATGTGTTAGGCTGAGTGATTCTTGTGTCCTCTCCCTAAAAAAGCTAGGGTTTGGGTTTATATATTATACCTATTACAAGTTTGAGTTTAATACAAAATCAATGAAACAGGAAATTGACTTGATCTTCACCCCTTAATTTGCGAAGTCTAATATCTTCTTTGAGAATTATCCTCTCCTAACCTAGTATTTTTTTTATTTTTTTATTTTTTTTAATCATTGATAAAGGTCAATTATAAATTTCGCTAATAAAGTAATGGTGCTCCTTAGTTTTTTTTTTTTTTTTTTTTTTTTTTTTTTCCAACTTTTCTAACTTATATATCTTCTCTAGAGACGATTAAATAAACACTTGAATCTACAAATATTGTTTAATCAATGACACAAATATTATATTCCTTAGTTTCTTTCTTTCAAAATTTCATGTTAAAGAAGGATTTATAATGCTTATATTGCACTATTGTCATTTGCGTAGATTTTTCTTTACTTATTACCATATAATTAAAGTTCATTTTAAATATAAATAAAAAATCTAAGGTGAACTTCATTATATCTTCTAAATTAGTGGATGATCTTTTTTTAAATATTTAATTATTAACATTTGAATTTAATAATTATAAAATAATTAACATTGTAAATACATTTATTTAAAGACCTCGGGAATTAGTTAAGATGCATACAAATTAGCCTGGACGCCTTGATTATCAAAAAAAAAAAAAAAAAAATTTATTTAAAACAAATTTTATTGTAATCAAACATTTTGAAATTTGTATTATGAGACAAACAAAGGCTAGATCTTTTATAAAACCTTTAAGTAATTTTAGTTTGAGACAAAATCAAAATACTAGTATTTTAGTTAATTTTTTTTTTCTTTTTTTTCTGATTGATAAAAAGAAGGAATATAAAAAAAAATATTGTTTAAGTTGGTAAGTATGGATAGGGGTAAAGTAGACTTTTAATTTTGAAAAGATTAAATCATCTACATATATATTAAAATCATTTAAAAAATTTTGGTTAAAGTAATAGATTTTGAAATGTCTTCTCATTATCTCTTCTAAATTTATGTCCTATTTAAGATAAAAATGTTTTCCGGGTGATACAAAATCAAACTTTCACATTATCAACATTAAACTTTCATAACTACTTTTAAATAGCTTGATGGTTCGCTTAAGACTTTTGAGTGTATTACTTAAGAGGTATGCGCAAACTAGTCCGGCCGATACTCACAAATACCAAAAAAGAATATATAAACTTTCAATTTTGTTCTTTTTTTGTATAAATATCTGTTTTTGGATTATTTTTCTAATTTAAAAAATAATGAGAGAGATTATGGTTGATTTAAGTTTTTTTTTTATTCAAGTTTATATATATTGCATAAAAAGATGTAAATACCCTTTGACGGTTAAGCATAATATTTGAAATTTAAAAATTGGGTGGAACATGATGGTTCCGAAATTAGGGGTGGGAAATAGATTTTCCAAACCTAAGGTGGGAAATATAATTTGGTCTAACTTTAAAGAGTAATGCTACTTTTATACCAGTTTTTTACATTATTCTCTTACTTCATGACCGTTTTATTAATAATAATCTATCTATCTATATATCTATGTAATGCTGAAGCAGACCGCTTCTTCTGACACCATGTACGATTGATATATGATCACCATGTAGGATGTCGTTAATTGGTCCACGTGTTCGCTGTTTATTGGGCTTGCTATAATAGGGATTATTCACATGCATTCAATTAATGTATTCAATACATATCTTTCACATTTCTCTTTCAATTTGAGATCTTTCACATTCCTCTTTTAATTTGATAAATTACTAATGATTCACGTATGTGTTATTGATTTCCATGAATATTAAGATATTGCTATAATAGGGTTATTCACATGCATTCAATCTTCTTCTCTCTTCATCTTCTTCATTAATATTTCCATCCTCCTTATCTTTTTCTCTCTTCATCGTTTTCATTATACGACCCATTTCTCTAATTCATTTCTTCTTTGTTCGCAACCATTGGAGGAGCCTTTGCCCTGTTTCAAAAAGAATCAGTGTAATGCTTTCTTTCTAGCTAGTATACTCGTAAAATAATCACTAAAACTCATTAAAAATATAAATAAGAAAATACACACACACACACACACACACACACACACATATATATGGGCCCATATTTAATTTTTCTTTATATGCAAATATTTACAAAATGTTCTCAAAAATAGCAATTTGACGGTATAGCCCAACCCTTCCACTGCGTAACGTTCCAAGCGACCGCAACTCACCTATTACCTGCAAAACATTAAAAACAACGGAATGAGCACTAACGGCTCAGTAAGTAAACCCACTATGCTACCCTTCTCTCTCCATTGCTTAAATCCTGAATTTTCTTTCCTTACAACTCATTTCCTGAGTATTCTCTATTCTTTCTCTGTTCTTCTCTTTGTTCTTTCTCTATTCTTTCTCTGTTTTGCTCTCTGTTTTCTAATTTTTTCACTACCCATGATAATGAGCATGGTATTATGCATATTCATGATGCAAATACATAAATTATGCATTTTCTTTTCTATTTTTCTTATTCTGTTTTCGGTTTCTTTTTCTTTATTTTTTTTATTTCTTTTCTATTCTTGCCGATCGGACTCGGTTGAGGCATGGATTTGGACCCTTAGCCGTGTGAGTCAATTCTCTAATTCTGGGTACAGTTCTGATCTACACACACTTCTAACGGATTATACATTTCTTCTTTCTGAATTCTGAGGCCGCTCACTAAAGGCGGCGTGCATGTGGGACTATGTCACTCATGACTCCCCATCGCAACAACCTTCTCTTCTTTTTATCTTTTTTTACACTTCTTTAAGAAAAATTCAGATTTGAATATATTTAATATTCTCATTTCTTTCTATTTTCTCTTTAACATATTTTAGGGCATTTTCATGCTCTTATGAATATGTATGCATATAGATGGTTTCATGCTTATAATTCTTTATAAATTCACATATTTAAATGCAATTATGCATTATGGAATGCAAACATGTCATTCTCTACCATCTACAAACACATCCCAAGGTAACACATAATCATACTCATACATGCACTTCTCCTTGGCATTTCATCAAACAATTCATGTGCACAAATCAACACTAATTTGGCTACACTTCTATCTCTATTTTAGGCCACCAAAAATTTGGAATAAACTCCTCCATAATTAACACCAAATCTGCCCAAAATACACACTTCAAAATTTTCACTTCAATTCTTCCAAATCTCATCCAAACATTCATCAAATAACAACTACACCAACACAACTTCTCATGGATAGGTTCTAATCATTATTCAACACCAAATCCATCAACAATTTTACATATAACACATATATATGCATAAAGAAAGTTCTCTACACAACATAACTTAAATCATACTTAGGGTAGGATTTACTTACCTTTGATATGAGCAAATTCAACCCTTTAAGAATCTCCTTTGATCAAACTCTCTTCCTCTTAAATCCTATGAGCATAAACCATCAAAATCAACACTTTAAAAACTAAAATTCACTTCTTAGTGCAAGGATCTTACCTATAGAAGCTTAAGATTGAAAATCCACTCAAAAACACTCAAAACCTATGAATTTCCTTTGAAGAAGAATTGAAGAATTTGAGAGAATATGGAGGTGAAAGTGGCGTGCAAATGGGTAAGAGTGGCTAGGGTCTCACTCTTCAATTTGATATAACATAAAAATTATATATTAGTTTCTCATTTTGTCTTTACACTTTCTTTAAAATTTCATCTATGTCCCTTAGTCAAGTACCATAATACCCTCATTTTTATTGTATTTTCTATGAAATTTTATCTCTTTTTATTTCCTATAATTTCATCTAATTTTGAGTGAAAATACCATTTTACTCTTAATACAAGTTTAAGGCATTTTTTCAAAATAATTTTAGCAAAAATTAACTAAAGGTAAATTAAATTACGTATGTGGGCGTGACAACCAGCATACTGAATCAGAGGGCCGTAAGTTTTCTCTTGGCTTTTTTTATTAGCTTCACCATCTTTTATCGTCCTCTGGGTCTTCGTACTCCTCAGGTTCGTCGTCGTTGCTACCGAAATCTAATCAAAATCAGAAATATGGGTCATTTTAATCTCATACAATCTGCAATCGTCCTCTGACACGTCATCTTCATCCTACCGTCGTCGTCGCCGAAATCTCTGCTGCGAAGAAAGATAGAGACAAGGAGTCGGCATACAAAAAGGTGCGCCCTTTTAGATCCATTCCTCAAATTCTTATTTAGTTTGATTAATTTTGTGTATAATTTCATTTCATTTGATTTAAATAATCACCAACTGTTGTTGAATCTATACGTAAGTTCGTTATATCCTTCAACTGATCGACTCTTAGTTTACTCTTAATTCCGTTTATTTTTTGTTTCTATTTTCTTAATTTTGAATTCGTGAGTTTGAGCGGTGCTTGGTTGCTGAGAAACTGCTGGAGAATGGAAAAAGAATTGGATGTTTAATTTTTAGGATTGCTTTTAATGAATTATCCTCAGTGTTTGTAGTTTATTTTAGTTGAGACAATTGTAACAAGATTCAATTGAAATGTTTTCTCAACTATATCGGAGAGGAAATGTTTTTTGCTTTTTGAGTTTGAATCCTCTGATTAGAGTCATGTTTGGGTTAATTCTATAGTTTAATTAAATTAAGTTGTTTAATGAAGCAATGGTTGGAACCTGTAAAGTGTTTAATGAATATGTTAGCCTAAATTGTATTTATGTTTTAATTGTAAATGCTGCATTTTTTGTTAGTGGTTATGATGATTTTGTTGGTTTTTTTTTTTTTTATTATTATTTTTAATTCTTTGACAGCTTGGCAATGGGAATGGAAAAAAACAGTAATGATATGGAGGAGGGAACGCTAGAGATTGGCATGGGTATTTTGTAAAGTGAATTTTCTAATTATTTCATATGTTTAATGTTATTTTGCGAATGCTGCGGTAGATTTTTTATACTTTTGACAGATGGGGAGGGCGGTCGGATTATGTATTCACACAGCTTCAAGGTGATTTTATGAGACCCAGGATTAATTAGGTACATTAGAAATTTCAAAAAAACTTAGTATTGGCATTTTTTTCATGATTTAATTGGCATAAATAACTTAATTTATACTTGAAGGAATCAAACATTTCTGGAAATGTATGATTCCTTTGTCACCACTCAAATGTGTTTGAAAGATCAACTGTAACTCCTTTCATTTGGTTTAATATTGAAGTCAATGATTCCATACTATCTTCTCATATTTAAAATGTATGGTTGCCAAACAGATCCTTATCATTTTGGGTGCATTTGTGATATGGGTTTTCGTTTTATTTTCATAAGATGATTCTAAATTTTACATTAATCATCTTTTATCTTACAGGTGGATGAGCTACTTGCAAAAGGGGTGAATGTCACCATATGCAATGGGCAAGTAAGCCATTTTTATATTTATAATCAAGAGTCCTTTTCAGCATAAACATAAAACCTTAGAAAATGGGTTGCCCATATTCCTGTGGACCACCCAATTGTCAAACCATTTTCATTTTTTTGGTTTAACTGGTATTGTGATTATGACATGATTTTGTGGTTAACTGTAGTTGGATGTAATTTGTGCAGCAAAGGGAACTGAAGCATGGAATTTATTAAATATAACAGATTTGTTCAGCTCTTAGGTATTCTCTCACTCTATTCAATTTCTTTATTGGGTTATTTTGTATAATTAATTGCTGTGACTGGTGATTAATGGATCTCATTTGATGTCAATTTCTGCAGATAGATATCAGAGTTGCTTTGGGATCAGGGTGTGTACAGCGGCGAAGGAATCATCAACTGAATAGCTGTTTAGAAGGTTTTAAGCTTCTTTTTTGCATGTTAGTTTCCGTTGCTTTATAAACATTTCTAAATAGTCAATTTTTGCTTTAACTTCCCTTAAGTCATATATATTTATTATTTATTGCACGAGTTTGAGAGGTTGAGTGGATTTTTATTCAATGTAATAACTATAAATGGAATGGAGATGAAAAAATGAAATCTCGAATAAGGAGATATGTATAAAGCGGTGCCTTTTGGAGGGTGTATGAAATCTGGGTTTGTTTCTGTTTTGTATTGGTTGGGGGTGTGAAAGAGAAAGAGGAAGAGATGGGTTAAAACTGAAGACTTAAAATGGTGGGTGTTGGGTTGGTTAAGGTAGCTGAGGTTAAGGGGAGAAAAGGTTTTGTTTTAGTTTTGGTGTTTTGTTTTAATGGGGTTTAAGAGAGGGATGAGAGATTGTGATTTGGAGAGGGTATATTTTAGCCTAATTTTAGATGGGAGGTCCTGATTATCAGTTGATACTCAATACTTTTTGTTTTGTTTTTTCTTGGTTGCGGTTGGGAAAGAGAAAGAGGAAGAGATGGGTTAAAACTGAAAACTTGAAATGGCGGGTGTTGGGTTGGTTAAGGTAGTTGAGGTTAAGGGGAGAAAAGGGTTTGTTTTAGTTTCGGTGTTTTGTTTTAATGGGGTTTAAGAGAGGGATGAGAGGTTGTGATTTGGAGAGGGTATATTTTAGCCTAATTTTAGATGGGAGGTCCTGATTATCAGTTGGTACCCATACTTTATATAAGGGCTATTTACAGATTTTTTCCCTTTTTCCAGACATGATCAAAAACATTAGTAGAAAGTTTGAGTGCTTTAGATGTGGATCTTCTATTTTTTTTTTATTGGTTTTCTTTTAATTGGATTTACTTAAAGTAACTACTATTAGTATCAAAGTTATTTTCTTGCACATCATGACCGTGTCTTTGAAATTTAATTTCTATTTTTTCTGTGCTTGAAGTTTAGGTCTTTTATTTATTTATTCCTGCTGCTGTTTCAATAATTGTTCTGAAATTAGTGAACATATTTCAATTATCCTTAGAAAAAAGGACCAATCTTCTAATGCTGTTGAGCTTTGTGTGGATGGCAGAAGATAGTGCTTATTGCTATTGTTGCTTTATGTATATAAATGTTCAACAACATAATAATTAGACATTCTGGGATATGTGAAGGCCAACTCTACGCAGAGTCATTTACCAAATTAAGGACCATAAAAATTAGACAATGTGATGAGTTAGAGCATATCTTAATCTCCATGGCAAGAAACCTTTCACATCTCCAAAAAGTCGAAGTGACTGATTGCAAGAACCTAAAAGAGATTTTTGGTGATGAAGAAATTGAAGAATCTACTAAACATGTTGATCAAAGGGTATGTTTTTTCTGTTTTTTTTTTTTTTTTTTCAAGTATTTTAATACATTTCTAAGTTTGTTTACAGAACAAGAATTATGTCTGCAGGTTGTATTCCCAAAAATTTTAAGGTTGCTGTGAAGGTATGTCATTCTTTGAAATTTATATTTCCATCTGCTGTGGTTGAACTCCCAACGTTGAATGCAATTCACATTGAGGGTTGTTAGAGTTTGAAGACTTTCTTCTCCAAGAAAGAATGTGAAGAAATCAACTTAGAGAATGACACCACTGTTATACATCCTTTCTTTGATGAAAAGGTTTATTTTATTTTTTTTTTTTTTCCTTCAGAAGCTCATGGAAAAGAATACATGGACATCTTATTCATCTTCTGCTTCATGTTATACAGGTTCATTGTCCAAGCTTGGAGAAGACGGTACTCTCACAGTTGGATAACATCCAATTAATATGGCACAATAAACTCGAAGCAAATTCTTTTTGCAAACTCAAGGTTTTGAGAGTTGAATTTTGTGGAAAATTACCCAGTTTTGTTCCTCCTGACACACTCAGAAGATTACCAAAGAATCCAAAAACATTTCACACCTTTCAAAATCTAGAAATTGTAAGGGTTATAGAATGTTGGAGTATGAAAAACCTCTTTCCAGTCTCTATAGCTGCAGGTCTCTGAAAACTTAAAAGAGATTGAGATAAATTCTTATGGGTTGGAGGAAATTGTTGCCATGGAGAAAGTAGAAGTGCCTCCTAAGTTTGAGTTTCCTCAACTTTTCAACAAAAAAAAAAAAAAAAAAAAATATATATATATATATATTAAACCGAATTTCAAGAACGAAATATTATATTATAATTCATAAATACTGAAAACATAACTTTTATTTATAAAATAGGATAAAATTAATATTACTTCTTTTAAAGATAATGGGTGCTTTTGGTACAATATTTTTACCCATATTCTCAATTGGGTTTTACAAATAGCGTTTGGTTCAATATTTACACAATGTTGTCCTGAAAATAAAATCCTGATAACTATCCTGATAGTTTTTTGATCGTTACAGTTTGCATTCCTGCTTTTATTTCACAGTCTCGTTTTCTTCACTGCTTCTTCACTGCTTAAGTGCTTCACCATTTCACTTTCTCAGTTTCCATTACCAGCTTCAATGCTTCACCATTTCACTTTATCAGTTTGCATTACCAGCTTCAGTGCTTCACCACTGTCACTTTCTCACTTTGCATTACCACCTTCGTAGCTTCACCACCGTCACAAACCATCTTTCTTCTCCAACATAATCTTCCACCTGCAAATACAAAACAAAGCACATTGGAATTCTGACCAGTCACCTGAATCAGAAAACCACCCCATAGCACCACCCAATCAATCTTCCACCATCATCACAACAGAACCGCACGGCCACCACCCATCACCATCTTCCACCATCATCACATTACCACCCCACCGCAATCACGCATCACCATTTGTCGCCATTATCACAACACAAACGTGATCGGAATCAAACAATCATCCACTGCATCACCATAATCACAAAACCCACCACCGTGAACCCACAGATCTGTCACAAACCCACCACCGTGAACCCACCGATTTGTCACAAACCCACCACCGTGAACCCACAGATCTGTCACAAACCCACCACCGTGAACCCACCGATTTGTCACAAACCCACCACCGTGAACCCACAGATCTGTCACAAACCCACCACCGTGAACCCACAAATCTGTCACAAACCCACCACCGTCAACCCACCATCACCGATCATCACAAACCCACCATCGTGAACCCATAGATTTGTCACAAACCCACCACCATGAACCCACAGATCTGTCACAAACCCACCACCGTCAACCCACCATCACCGATCATCACAAACCCACCATCGTGAACCCACAGATCTGTCACAAACCCACCACCATGAATCCACCGTTACCGATTATCACAAACCCACCACCGTGAACCCATAGATATGTCACAAACACACCACCGTGAACCCATCGTCACCGATCATCATAAACCCACCACCGTGAACCCACAGATCTGTCACAAACCCATCACCGTGAACCCAACGTCACCGATCGTCACAAACCCACCACCGTGAACCCACCGACATCACAAATCTGTCCATAGGGAAAGATGTTTTTGATTTTTTGTTTTGTTTGGCAGGTTTTTAAATCTCGTCTACATGCATGAATTTGTGATTGTGTTTGATGTTTATTTGTCTCAGGGAAGGGAAAGAGACCCGCGAAGTACCCAAATCCAGTTTGTGAGCTTCCATTACCTATTTGTTTTCAAGACACCAAGACGCAATTTTCCTCATTTTTTATTTTATTGGAAATAATTTGTTTTAGTACTGTTTTTTTTTTTTTTTTCATTAATCCTTTTAATTTGGACTTCAATAATGCATTTTATAATTGGTTGACTCAAACTGATATTTGCACATGAGCTACTTGGATCTGTGGATTTGTTTATGGGGTTTAATGGTTGTAGCATGTGCTATGTTGCTTACAATGTTTAGCACATGTGTCAAAATATTGTGCAGTTTCATATGTTCTGTATGTAACATGCTGTATGTAATGGACAAATTTTGGGAGTAAAAAATTATTGGATTATTAGAAATATTTTTTTTCGAATTTCACTAACTGATATATTTGTTCTGTAGATTTGACATCGTTCTTTAATCGTAACAACAAATTACGCTCATATGCATAGATGTCAGTATAATTTGTCTCGACGTCGCATGATCGATTACTACTTGCAGCAGAGGAGAAAGTTTCGACGTTTTTCCAGACTTGGAGTTCGTCATACACCCTGTTGGTCGACATTGTCTGTATCTTCTCCTGCATTGACGTCTTCAAGCAGTGTCGGATCGAACAAGGTATAAGTTTATCTGTGTTTACTTGACTCGTTAACATGTGAGTATTATATTTTGTAATGTGATTGGTGATTCGTCTGGTATCCTACTGTTGGTTGTCGTTCTCACCGTACTATACTTAGATGAGTGATTCTGTGGCCTGGTCCGTTGAGATGACCCATAAATTTCTGGTGCTGTTGTTTGAGCGGGCCAAAACTTTGCACGATACTTCAATAAAAACAACAGATTACCAGGAAATGTTGGATGACATATCACCAGTGGCTGGCAGGAGACTCAACGTCACACAACTAACCTCTAAGTTCTTTTGCCTACGAAGAGTATATCAAGCATAGCAGAAATTGCTGCAACACGCAGGGTTCGGGTGGGACCATGAGTCGTAAAGTCCAACGTGTCCCGTAGAGGTTTGGCAAGAATATGTCAAGGTAAATTTTCATCTTTTTTAACTAATATTAATCAAGAACACTATAATTGTATGCATTTTTTTCGGACTGCCAAATATTAATATATTATTCTTTGAACTTACCAATAAAACCCACTGGCGCAACAATTTTACCACAAGGGACTTCCTCACAAGGAGCTTTATGAAATCATATTTGAGAAGCAAACTGCCACTGGGAGATATGCGTACACATCTACATCTCAACCGATGGAGACATCCACTCATTCCAATCAGGGCACGGTTCCCATGGATGATAACGACTTTGAGCCTGATCCAGATCGGACGACAGGGGAAAAACGGTCAAACACATCTGGCCATGGAAGAGCGAGAAATAAGAGGAACAAAAGCAACCCAGGAAAATCACTTGCGGATGTTATTGGTAGATTGACGGACGAGCTTGTAAAAAAGCAGACTATGGGATCGAGGGCTAGCAATCGCAATGCAGATGAGAGGGATGAAGAGAACACTAGTGGTCCATTTGATCTGTTTTCCATGAGCAATTTATCGACATCATGACGGCCATGCAAGTACCCACAGAGTTTTACATGCCGGTTGTCAAGTACTTATATCAAAATCCAGGGTGGCGGGAGATATTCGTGAAACTCCTGCCCGAGGAAAAGGCTAACTGGATTTATAACGACTTTCGCAATTTGTAGATGATACTATATTTCCCAAGTGTTTGCCAACAATTGTGTATGCGTCAGTGGGCACTTGTCATTACAATTAGAATTTATAACGCTACTGTATGAACTTAATAATTGTGGTACTGTTTTATTATATGATATTACATGTTTCAACCCCGTTTTGGATTGTCATTAGAATTAAATATTGACTATTATATTTTGCTAAGTAGTACAACAACGGTTAATTGTTGATCAATGTATTGCAAATGTGCAGGTTTAAATGACGTCGTCTAGCCGTATAGGAAGAAGATGACGTGCTACAGATGACGAAGAAGAAATACTGATAGAAGCAACTGGGCGTCAACTATGACATACATCCGTATTAACTGGTCATGAGTACATGTTGGAAGTACTCAATGGTCATCCTGACAGGATCTATGACAAGTGCCGCATGGACAAAGACTGTTTTACATTCTTATGTGAAATTTTGTCCGATTAAGGCAAATTGTGACCAACCAGGAAGACAAGTTTGGAAGAACAAGTTATGATATTTCTAACAATTGTTAGAAAAAACGAGACAATCAGAACGATGATGGAGGATTTCCAACATTTGGGTGAGACGATCTCTAGACATGTTGGCATAGTTTGCGAGGCTATATATGAGTTGAAGACAGAATTTATCAGGCCACCTGACTTCAATGATGTTCCATGAGAAATATTAGCCACCAGAAAATATTACTCTTTCTTTAAGGTACTGGTTCATTATGTTTTCTATTAGTGGATTGTTCATTGTGTTATTAATTTTGATAGTCGGTTAATATGAGGAAAATTCAATTTTGATGATAGGACTGTATTGGAGCCATTGATGACACACATGTATACGCTTTGGTTCCACATGAATTTGCTGATAGGTACCAGAATCGCAAAGGAACATTGTCACAGAATGTAATGGTTGTATGCGACTTTAGGATGATGTTCACTTATGTCGTAACTGGATGGCAAGGATCTACATATGATTCAAGAGTTTTAAATTCAATTCTTGATGATCCTAATTCTGGATTCCTACATCCTCCATCAGGTATAAGTATTTTCTTGACGTATTATAGCATATTTGCTCCACTGTTAAGGCCCTGTAATTCAAATAAAATGTCTGATATTATTACAAGGAAATACTATTTGGTTGATGCGGGTTATCCAAATAGAAATGGGTTCCTCGCCTCTCATAGGCGAGTGACTTACCATATTTCTGATCATCGCCGTAACCGAAGGGGGCCATAAGAGTTGTTTAACTACAAACATGTTTCACTCCGCAATGTTGTCGCGAGAACCTTCGGTGTTTTGAAAAGATGGTTAAGTATTCTGAATGGAATGAACAATTACCCGTTGGACAAACAAGGGAAGATTGTTATGGCATATTGTGTACTTCATAATTTTATCAGAATGTATAATATGGACGACTTTATCTTCGAACAAACCAATAATAGTATGGGTAATGAACAAGTATATTGTGATCGTCAAAACGGGGCAGAATATGGCCGAAATGGAGAAGGACCAAGCCAACCACAACAAGGTATTATAGACAACATGACGACTGTATGGGGTAACATAACGAATTCACTGTAGGCAGCACAGTAGACCATGTCGTAGTTGTTAATGGAATATACATGTAAGAATGATTGTAAGGGTTGATAATTAGTACTTTTATCATATATGTATTAATATGATGTTTTTAAACAATTGGATTAGTACTTGAAATTAATATTTACTGGTGACAAAATTACTAATAAAATGTTTTATATTATTAAAATGTAAATTGATAAGTTATATATATAATAATACATTATTTTAACAAAATGCACCAAAATATTATATTGATAAATCATTTATAAAAAAATATATCAATCAAATATTCAACACAAATATCAAGGTCAAAATACTCTACCAAACACATATTCTTAAAATCATATTCTCGTAATCATAACCCTATTTAACTATTCAATATTATTCCCAAAATTCTATTCAAAATAATAAACTAAACGTACCCAATATTTCTTTACACCAACAATAAATATATACTATTTATTTCATTTATTTTATTTATCTCTTTAATTATCAATTCAATATAAAATAAATTTTAATATAAAAAATATATATTTAAAATACAAAAAAAACTAATAATAATATAATAGCATGCCACCTAGTTTTATTATAATATTAAAAATTTATTTATACGTGACATATGTTATGTGATAAAGATGGTGTAAATGTTGGTGTAAATTATCATTACTCAACTTTAAAATGTAATAAGTGTGACCGGACTTCAAAATGTAATTAACCCGGTCGTTGAAATCCCTTCACCATGGAATTGGAATCCTATAAACAAAATCTGTACCCGACAAGGTCAGTATGAAGCTTATTTCAATGGCGAAATCTCATTTGCCTGCATATGCTTCGTCTTCCGCAAAAATCCACCCCGAGATAGACCCCAATTCCTGCTCCCTTGAGAAGTTCAAGCTTTAGGAGACCAGAGCGGTGAGGGTTTTTTTTTTTTTTTTTTAACTGTAATTTTCAAATAATTGATAAACTAAGGGCTATTCAACTGAATTGAGTTTGGGTGTTTTTGAGCAGAGGTTCTATTTAATTGGGAGTGACAGGAACAAGAGGTTTTTTTGAGTGTTGAAAATTAATCGATCAGAGCATCAGCCAGGATCCGGTGTTTTATTCCCCTCAGGAAATCAAAAACTTGCTTCAACAGATTGATGAAGGAAATCGTGCTACCGGCGGCCTCAACTCTGTGGCTAAGGTTTTTGGTATTGCAGGTTAGACTTATTATTATTATTATTACTATTATTATTATTTTTTGGGTGGATAAAGACCTTATTAATTATTATTTCTATTATTAGTATTATATTATTATTTTTGTGCATTTCAGTATGTAATTGAGTTTTTTTTTTTTTTTTTTTCACTTTTTATTTTGTGAAGGTTGCATTAAGTTTTTGGAGTCATATTATTTGATTTTGGTTACCAAGCGAAGACAAATTGGATGTATATGCGGTCATGCAATATACAGTATAAATGAGACCCAATTGATTACGATTCCTCATGTCTCTATTCAATCAGATGTGGCGCATTCGAAAATCAAATTCAGGTATTTTCCACTTGGTGTATTTTTCATTTATCTGGCCATAATTCATTGGGTTAAAATGAATTTTAATTGAATTTTTATGGACCTAGGCAATTTAAAGTCGTGGATATATATAGGCTGTCGTTTGCAGCCAAATGTTCAGCCTCTTCAAAGTCTGCTATTTCTTAATTGTAGCCTTCTGGTTAAGGAATTAATCAGAATTTAAAACTGGAAGCAGTGTATAATTTTATGTCAGCTGCCTGTTTAGTTGGATTCTTTTCAGAAGTGAAATTTGGTGAAGTCATTCTTTGATTTTTGTAGCACTCAATTGCTTGCAATGGAAATCTGTGGAAGACAATCATTCTTTCACTCTTGGAACAAGCTTTTGGCTGGCTATTATCTCTTCACTCTTGTCATGGTGAACATCCACAATCATATCTTAGTTGGTTTCATTAAGTTATGGGCCGCCGAAATATAAAAACATCATAGAATCTTTTTTTGGTCCAGAAGTAATTAACCTCGTGGCCAGTTTGGCTTTTAAGTGAAGAAGGAGGCCATGTATTAAGTCAGGTACGAATCCTTAAATTTATGGCTTTTTTGCCCTGGTTGCAAGACAGATGAGAGAGTCATGCATTACATAGGGTTTCCGGCACTGTTTTTTCTTTTCAGCCCATACATTGAGGCTCTTAGCTAGAATGTTAATGTTAGTCAGTTGATAATTGGAGTTGGTTTTGTTGGTGTGTAGAAGACTTCACTGAACATGTCTTTACACTTCCCAGGATTACAGTACAGTGTCAGCTACTTACAGGCCATCTCCTGCAGANTGCGTGGGTGTACGTGTGTGTGGGATAAAAGGAGGGCCTTGACCATTATTTAGATCGATCGTTGTGTTGATTGGTTCTGCTTAGGTCAGCTATCATAGTTTCCCACATGCATAAACTCCATGATTTTCTGACAGCATCTCTAGGGTCTCACCAAAATATTATATTAATAAATCATTTATAAAAAAATATATCAATCAAATATTCAACACAAATATCAAGGTCAAAATACTTTACCAAACACATATTCTTCAAATCATATTCTCGTAATCATAACCCTACTCAACTATTCAATATTATTCCAAAAATTCTATTCAAAATAATAAACTAAACGCACCCAATATTTCTTTACACCAACAATAAATATATACTATTTATTTCATCTATGATATTTGTTTTATTTATCTCTTTAATTATCAATTCAATATAAAATAAACTTTAATATAAAAAATATATATTTAAAATACAAAAAAATCCAATAATAATATACCAGTATGCCATCTAGTTTTATTATAATATTAAAAATTTGCTTAAAAGTGGCATAGTGATAAAAATGGTGTAAATATTACTCAACTTTAAAATGTAATAAGTGTGACCGGACTTCAAAATGTAATTAAGCCGATCGTTGAAATCCCTTCACCATGGAATTGGAATCTATAAACAAAATCTGTACCCGACAAGATCAGTATGAAGCTTATTTCAATGGCGAAATCTCATTTGCCTTCATATGCTTCCTCTTCCGCAAAAATCCACCCCGAGATAGACCCCAATTCCTGCTCCCTTGAGAAGTTCAAGCTTTAGGAGACCAGAGCGGTGAGGGTTTTTTTTTTAACTGTAATTTTCAAATAATTGATAAACTAAGGGCTATTCAACTGAATTGAGTTTGGGTGTTTTTGAGCAGAGGTTGTATTTAATTGGGAGTGACAGGAACAAGAGGTTTTTTCGAGTGTTGAAAATTGATCGATCAGAGCATCAGCCAGGATCCGGTGGTTTATTCCCCTCAGGAAATCAAAAACTTGCTTCAACAGATTGATGAAGGAAATCGTGCTACCGGCGGCCTCAACTCTGTGGCTAAGGTTTTTGGTATTGCAGGTTAGACTTATTATTATTACTATTAGTATTATTTTTTGGGTGGATAAAGACCTTATTATTTCTATTATTAGTATTATATTATTATTTTTGTGCATTTCAGTATGTAATTGAGTGTTTTTTTTTTTACTTTTTATTTTGTGAAGGTTGCATTAAGTTTTTGGAGTCATATTATTTGATTTTGGTTACCAAGCGAAGACAAATTGGATGTATATGCGGTCATGCAATATACAGTATAAATGAGACCCAATTGATTACGATTCCTCATGTCTCTATTCAATCAGATGTGGCGCATTCGAAAATCGAATTCAGGTATTTTCCACTTGGTGTATTTTTCATTTATCTGGCGATAATTCATTGGGTTAAAATGAATTTTAATTGAATTTTTATGGACCTAGGCAATTTAAAGTCGTGGATATATATAGGCTGTCGTTTGCAGCCAAATGTTCAGCCTCTTCAAAGTCTGCTATTTCTTAATTGTAGCCTTCTGGTTAAGGAATTAATCAGAATTTAAAATTGGAAGCAGTGTATAATTGTATGTCAGCTGCCTGTTTAGTTGGATTCTTTTCAGAAGTGAAATTTAGTGAAGTCATTCTTTGATTTTTGTAACACTCAATTGCTTGCAATGGAAATCTGTGGAAGACAATCATTCTTTCACTCTTGGAACAAGCTTGGCTGGCTATTATCTCTTCACTCTTGTTAAGGTGAACAACCACAATCATATCTTAGTTGGTTTCATTAAGTTATGGGCAGCCGAAATATAATAACATCATAGAATCTTTTTTTGGTCCAGAAGTAATTAACCTCGTGGCCAGTTTGGCTTTTAGGTGAAGAAGGAGGCCATGTATTAAGTCAGGTACGAATCCTTAATTTTATGGCTTTTTTGCCCTGGTTGCAAGACAGATGAGAGAGTCATGCATTACATAGGGTTTCCGGCACTGTTTTTTCTTTTCAGCCCATACATTGAGGCTCTTAGCTAGAATGTTAATGTTAGTCAGTTGATAATTGGAGTTGGTTTTGTTGGTGTGTAGAAGACTTCACTGAACATGTCTTTACACTTCCCAGGATTACAGTACAGTGTCAGCTACTTACAGGCCATCTCCTGCAGATGCAAATTTTTGATTGAAGTATAACGTCAGATCAGTGCAGGTAATGTTGTCATACTGAAATTTTGAAATTCTGTTTAGTGAATATTTCATATGATATCAATGAATTTAGTGAATATTTCATATGATATCAATGAATAATTTTGAGGGTGGTGGTAAATCTACAGTAGGTGATGTTGGTTTTTGGCTGGTGGGTGATGGGTGATGGGATTGCTGCCCAGGTGTGTTTGCAGCTGTTAAGTGTGTGTTGCTTATTATGCTGCCCTGCAGTTTGATTTTGGTGATTGGGTTCCTCTAGTAGCTGTTTCAATTTAGACTAGGACTTTTTCTGTTAAGCAAGACCTGTTTTTGCTCTTGGTTTTGTATAGGCCTGGAGCTGTCTGCGCTGGGAAGTTATCTGCAGCTGGTTTTTGTTTACCAAAAGACCTGCATTGTTTTTGTGCTGCTGGTCATTTTTTGTATAGTCCTCTTTGAGGCTAGTTAGATGGTTATTATGGATTGTAAATTCGTGCCTCTTTGTTGCTTGGGTTTGTTTTGCTTGGTTAGCCCACTAACTTCAATTTATCTGTAGTTCTTTCTCTCTACAGATAGATAAATGTACTTGCTACTATTTTTAATTTCTATATGTTGGCTGCAATTGGATGCAACCCTACATGCATGACATATCTAATGGAGAAAGATCTTGATTTCAATTTTTCATAATTCTTTGGCATCAAATACAGCAACTTCTTTTCCTTTCTTTAATGTTAAGAACATAAGAAAAAAGAAAATCTTATCCTGCTTTTGGTTTCTTCAGTTTCAAGTGTTGCATAGAAACCTCAAATGGAAGCAATCCAGAAAACCAGAAAACTAGAAAATGTAGACCTGTTTACCACCCAATTTGATAAAATTGTTCCCATCGTGAACCCAACAAATCCAGGCATCACTTCGTATACTCATATTGTCAATCCAACAACCTCGCCGCCATTGCCAACCACTATGAACCCAAATCACAAACCCAACTCCAATTAATTCAACGAGACAGTAAATAAAAACTCTTCAAATATATCCATAAGTTATATTTCTTCTAACTATAGTTTTACATATTCTAACCAAGAACAGGAGTATTGAATAATTATAATTTATAAATTGGACAAAATTATTATATGTCGGAAATCGTAATGGTTCGCTTATTCCAGTAACCCTTTAAATGGACAAAGTAATATACAGATGATTGACAGAACAACTCTATGATTTCAGATCAAGAGAAAGCATGAGACAATGGTGATACAAATAATGGCCAAGGTGGCAATAACTGAGCCTTGGTCAAAGGCTTTTTGCAAGCTTCCTGCCCGTGAAAAATGCTGGAAAGCAAGATATATCCTACAATAAGCAAGGAGATAATCGCACCTTGTTGCGTCCCCCTGTGATAAAATGAAAATTACCAAGATGAGAAAAGAAAAAAAGGCAACAATTTCATTTATTCCCACACAATACATCTACTTGCCTTCGGTTATGACTACATAAGGAGTCACAAGAACCAAGAGTAATGCTGTGAATGGTAACTCACTAACTCAAGCTCACCTACACAAATGAAGACAAATATAGGAACTGTTAAGGGGACTGCAAACACAAGCTTTAAATTTTGCCATTGTTATGAATCAAATTACCAAAATCCAATCCTAAAATTTAAGAGAGTACAAGTCTCAATTGTGAGATATATATAGCAGTGACATCACCGGTCCAGTCCACGAAAAGTTAAAAATCTTCAGTCAAGATTTCAGTACAACTAAAATCCATCTGTCCTTCTTCCAGATTTACAGCACTATTTTTCATATTTTTTTCCCCAGACTAGATTAAAGATGACAAATTTTATGGGCACAAGTAACAACAATATTTCCTACATCAATAAAACATTAAAACAAAAAATGAAAATGGAATCACACATGCTATAATCTAATACAATTTATCACACGAGAATGGAAAATAACAACAAATATCCCGAAAATGGCTTACTTTATCCAAGAGATGATACTTGCTGGTGCTTGTAGAGCAAATACCGGAACAAGAAACAATTTCTAAATAGCTGCGCCTTTCGTAAGCATCAAAACACTACACAATTAATTCATATCTCATCAAAACGCACTTCATGAACAAACCAAACCATATTAATCAATAAAGTTGATATAAGCTATAAATTCTGTGAATCAAGAGAGAATAATACGCTGAAAAAATGGTAGAGATCCACTGAAGATTACGACTCGTTAGAGGTGCAGTTAATCCTCTTCTCTTCTCCGCCATCACGACCACCGTTTCGTTATAATTGACCTAATATCTACAACAACAAAAAATGTCGTTCTCCTTATTGGACAGGCGAGAGCGCATGTGAAAGAGACAACATCTTCGTCTTGGTGATGTTGTCGTATGTATGGTGTCGTTTTTGGCCGGAGTTAATGATGGAATGCGAAGACAAGAGATAGCCGGCGATGCTGGTCGTCTTTTATGTCGGACGACGACGGCAGCGGCGGGGGTGCGCCTGGGTGGCGGTGCGAATGATTTTCCAATTTCAGGGGACTGGGTTCTTAATTTTGGGTTTGTTTTTTGTGTTTGGGGGTTGAAATATTTGGGAGGCAATTTGGGATTTAGGGTTTAAATATTTTATCTTAAATTGTGGGAAACTGACGTGGCAGATGGTGGCATTGGCCGCCACGTCAGTTTGTAGGATTGTCAGTAGGAATGGTTTAAAGTAGGAGTAATGTTATGTGTACTAATTAAATTATATTAATCCAAATACTAATAATTGAAATTATAAAATTTTTTTCTTTAGTGTTTAGGGAAAAATTGTCACGTCAGTTTGTACTTGAGTTAGTATGATTTTGGTTAGTGCACGTAACATTATTCTTAAAGTAATACTACATCAATTAACACTCTCACTAACACCTTTACACTTACTGATGTGGCGGTTGATGTAGATGATGTCACATCATCAACCACATCCAATCTTGCCACATCAGTCCCCTTCCAAACCCAAAAAAAAAAAATTGCCAAAACCCATAACCCAAAAAAAAAAAAAAAAAAAAAAATTGCCAAAACTCATTTTGAAATTGTTTCAGTCGCATCTCAACTTCATTACATGCCAAAACCAGTCGTTCTCCAAAAATCATCGTAGATCAAACATTGTTGATCTGATCAAAAAAAATCAAATCAGCACATGATCGATCAGATCTAATTGATCGTACCCCATTTCGGTAGATTCCAACCACCTTTCGGTGGTGGTGGTAGGCTACCGACAATATGTGGGTGGATGGAGGAGTTTTTGTCAATTTATAAACTTTTATTGTAGAAATGTTTAGTTAAATTAACAGAGGATTAAAATAATTTAAATATTTTCAGAAAATACTGTTAAGAGATGTACTAAAATCTTCTCAGAATTCTATCATATTTTTTAAAAATGCTATTCTAAAAAATTTATCAAACGGAGCTGTTGTCAGGTGTATGTTACCCTCGTCAAGATCGGTTAATATCTAATTCATACACTTCATTATAAAAATATAAAAAACACTCACAACGTTAGTGATATGTCAAGCTTTCATCCAATTTTAAAATTAAAAATCTATTTTACCCCCTCATATTACTTACCAATTCAACAAATTTTTTAAATCCTTCACTCAATAAATATCCAAATCTACCAAATCAACTTACAATTATACTATCCCAAGCAAAGTTACACATTTAGTTGAATTTAAAAATAATAAAACATATCATAATTGTGTTTTTAAAGAGATAAAATAGCTAAATTATAAATTATAATTATAAAAAATGAGATTAGTATAAATGAAATAATTTAAACATGATTAAATAAATAATAGATGTTGAAATATTGCTTTATCAATTTTAGAAATAATTATATTTTAGTTAAGACATTAAAAATTTATTAAAGCTAGCCATTTAAAAAAAGGACATAACTAGATAGTCCGCAATAATTATTTAAAAATTATAGGGTGTTCAATGGATCCCGAAAATTAATTAAGATGCGTGCAAACTGGTCCGGACACTCCGATTACCAAAAAAAAAAATTATTTAAAACAAATTTTATTGTAATCAAACATTTTGAAATTTGTATTATGAGACAAACAAAGGCTAGATATTTTATAAAACCTTTAAGTAATTTTAGTTTGAGACAAAATCAAAATACTGGTATTTTAGTTAAATTTTTTTTTTTTTATTATTAATAAAAAGAAGGAATATAAAAAAATATTGTTTAAGTTGGTAAGTCATGGAAAGGACATTTTATTAAAAGGCCAAATCAAGTTCAAATTTAATTAAAATGTCATATAGTTTGAAAGTGTTAACTAAATAACCTTATTATTTATTAAGGTTAATTAAGATTAATGAAGTATTGTGTAATCTTTTAAAAATTACAATATGTCCCCAAAGAGCCAAAATTCTTGCAAACAAACCCAAACACCTTTTTCTTCTTCCTCCTGCCATTAACGCATCCTTTCCATGGTTGTTGTTTCTTCTAAGCTTCGTCTACATCTTCTTCTTCTTCTTCTTCTTCTACATTTTCTTCTTCGTCTACATCTTCTTCTGTCTGTACATCTTCTTCATCCTCCTTCATGTATATCTTCTTGTTCTCGCCATAACACTATCTACTTCCTTCGCCATTAACATCTTCTCTGCCACAGATCCTCCTCCTCCTCCTCTTTCTGACATTTCGTCCAGGTATGTGTATCTCCCCTTTCCATTTTATATTTCGATTTACAAAGATTTAATGATAGATTGGGTTTGGGTTATGATTTTGATTTAGTTGTTGGGTTGTGTTTGATGTGATGCAAGTTGAAATGAGTGAAATTTGTTGAATATTTTCTTGCATTGTGGGTAGCTGGGGGTGGTAGCACCGATTGTGGGTGGAGATGACTGAAAAAGTGTTCTAGATATGATGGATCGCTTAAGCGATCTGGTATGTCTGGTATAATGCAGTAGATCGTAGATCGCTTAAGCGATCATGTATATGGCAAAAGATCGCTTAAGCGATCTGCTATAAGTCTAGTATATGACAGTTGATCGCTTAAGCGATCTGTTATAAGTCTAGTATATGACAGTAGATTGCTTAAGCGATCAGGTAAATGGCAAAAGATCGCCTAAGCGATCTACTATTAGTCTGGTGTATGATAGTAGATTGTTTAAGCGATCAGGTAAATGGCATAAGATCGCTTAAGCGATAAGTCTTATTTATACCAGATCGCTTAAGCGATCCATTATATCGCTTAAATGATCTGGTATATGATACACCAGATCACTCAAACGACTCTACAGATGCTTTTTAAAATCTTTCAACCCTTCATACATCAATTAATAATATTAGTTTTTTCTTGTATTATAGGTACTTGGCTATTATTAGACATGAGACAAGTTGTTTTGGGTATTGAATATTTTGGTGAGTGGGTAGAGGAAGAAAGTTGCTGGAAGTGGATTGGGAAGAGCAAATAAGTTATACCAATTGCTATGAGCACATATGTTAGTTTTGATGAGTTGATTGATGAAATAATTAGAAGAGGTGATTTGAGTTGCTTATGTAGTGATATAGTTGTGAAGTATGTTTTAAGCAGAGTTCCTGAACATTATAAGGTACCTCCTACTATATTAAAGTCGGATGAAGGTGTGAAGTTATATATAATTGATGTGGGCGATAATGGTTCGATGTCGATTTTAAGGGTTTCTTTTGTAAATAAATCGTTGGAAGTTGGTTCAAATGAAGGGGATAACGAGGAAGCTGGCGAAGAGAATGTTGCTTTTAATTTGAACTACGAGGGCTTTGATTTCATAGTTGAAAAATCAAGAGTAGGCGGTGATTTGGGTGGTGAGGAGGACACTGTAGAAGAGGTTGGTCATGTGCGGCAGAATGAAAATGTTAAGGAGGAGGACCTCGAACATGTTCCCACAGATATAGAGATTCCTTTAAATACAAAAATTCACGAAATGTTATTGCTAGTCAAAGTCATCAAGTTATTGCTGATTTGATGAAAATGCTCTGATTGGTCTTTTATAACATTTTGGATTTTGTTTTAAATTCTTAGAATTAACCGACTTCTAGTTGGTAAATTATTATCTTTAAGAGTATTTTTTTGAGTCTCTTCAGGGAAAGCTAAGCTTCATTTTGAAGTATATGAGTCCTTCAACTCATATATATTCATAAGACATCTGCTCTTATTTTTTTGATGATCCTCCAAGAAAAGTTGACAAAATACTTATTTATCTCAACAAAGGAGTGATCGGACTTGTACATTGACTGAACTTAAATGTTATTACTAATCAAAGTCATATCAAAGTATTTGTCAGCTGTCACAAAAATTCACTTGTTTTTGGTAAATTGAGAGTAAGACAACCTGATTTGATGAAGATACTTTGATTGGTCTTTTATAACTCTTTGGATTTTGTTTGAAATTCTTAGAATTAGCCAACTTTCTACTGATAAATTATTATCTTTTGAGAGTATTTTTTGAGTCTCTTTAGGGAAAGCTAAGCTTCATTTTGAAGCACATGAGTCCATCAACTCATATATATCCATAAGACATTTGCTCTTATTTTTTTGATGAAGTGAAATTAAAAATATGTATTTTGACATTATGCGCTTTATGTGCCAGTTTCTTGCTCTCCTAAACATTTTATCACTAAATATCAACCATTTTGTCGCTATGCATAGAGGATTACGATGAAGGTAGTATAAATAATACTCCTCCGTGGGTGGCTTTGGCTGTTGTACAATCATATAATCCAAGGCATAAAGTCCTCGGAGTGATATATATTTTTCCTGACCTAGAATGTTGATTCTAGTTAGCTGTTGTGCACCTGGTTTAGTCCGACTTGAATTGAGTATGTTTTAATTTTTAATGACAGATTAGGTGGCCTAGTTTCTTTATGTTATGAGAACCAAACTAGAGTCTTGGTTTTAATATTTAGTCTTAATGCTAAATTTTTACTGATAATTAGATTCACACCAGATATCTCTCATTTCTTTTCAGGGCTATTTCAGTAATTATATGATAACATTTAATCCATTTCTTTTTAAATCTACAAGTAACTAAGTATAAGATCTCTTGTCTCACTAGACTTGATATGATATGCCTTTTTCTTCTACAATAATTTGTTCTTTTAATGTTTGTAAGAGGGCCTTCTTTTATCGCCTTAGGCTATGATAGATTTTCCCTTCTTTGTAAAGCACCCGTCTTTCATTTTTTAATACAGTGCAGGAGATGGGTTGGTTAGAGGAACAAGATAGACTCACCAATTAGGCTGTTGCGGACT